CCCCCAAAAGAACAGCTATTCCGTCGATCTAACCAAGGTCGCTAGAATATCCCATGCTCCACGAGAGCGAGGAGGAAGAGATGGACACATACGCCGTAGAACTGAATTCCTTCGTCGACACCATCCTAAAGACGGTCTACGACCTGGGAGGCGGCCGTGACATGCTGTTCTCCAGCTTTAACCCAGATATCTGTCTGTTGTTGTCTTTCAAGCAGCCTTCCATCCCCGTTCTCTTCCTGAGCGATGCGGGCGCCTCTCCGGTCGGTGACATTCGTGCCAGCAGTTTGCAGGAGGCTATCCGGTTCGCATCCCGGTGGAATCTCCTTGGAATCGTTACCGAGGCTGAACCACTAGTCCTTTGCCCCCGGCTGGTCCGCATCGTTAAGGAGTCGGGTCTCGTGTGTGTCTCTTACGGAGCGCTTAACAATGACGGCAACAACGTCGACGTAAGTATTTCTTTCTTCACTTCCTTTTCACACTCCCACAAACCCCGAACAACCATCTAACCATGTTATTTGTATAGTACCAAGTCGCCGAAGGCATCGACGCTGTGATTGTCGACTCCGTGCTCGGCATCACCAACGGCCTCATTCAGCGCCAGGGCAAGAGCGACCGCACACCGGGCCTATCGCCCAATCCTTCGGCCGTCACTGACCAGGCAGCTGACTCCGCCAAGGGTGCTGTCACAGTCCCAACTCTCGAGCGGACGAACCAAAATAACCTCTCGCCGGATATGATTCCTCCTGTCCCTCTTTAGGAATCGCAGTCTTGTATCGTTGCATTCTCTTGTGAGAATTGTGATTTATCGTCATACGATGTCAATAGTTTGCATTCGGCTTTTGCGAGCTTCAACAGCTATCAATACCAGTTGTTTTTTGAGTTTATACTTATTTCTATGGTATTCTGTAGTTTATTCCAGGTTTTGATTTTGTTTCTATTGGCGAGAAAGAAATAGACTCGGTATTCTAAGGGTGTCTCTTACGCCTCTAATAGTTTTGTAGCTTCCTATTTGGAATTCGGCCAATGCACTTTCCCCAAATAGCGAGTTAAGGTCCAAGGTTGTGACATTCTTTCCTTTGCACACATCAAACCCATCTAATGGTAAAGCCATGCAACATGACTCATGCCAAAAAATCACCTGGGCATTGAAGAATTTCTTGAAATCCTCCCACTTAGTGTTTCGGCCATAAGCAAGCGGGAGGGTGAGCTGGGCATCAAAAATAGCTCTCAGCGTAGGGCTACAAGTTCCTCTAAAGATGACCTTAGATAAAGGGGATGCAAACAGACTGGATAACGGCATTCCCGTATCAGACGACAAGTCTCCATTCTCCCGTTCAATGCTTGCCAACGCATCAACAAAAATATCCCGAAATTCAAAGACTGCTTGTTTATACTCTAGTGGTGTAGCAGGAGGAGCAATGAACTCCGGAGTCACGGCAAACCGCTTTTTAAAATGAACTGAACGCTATCCCCTTAATGAACGAGTGCAACTAGCTGCATCCCTGGCTCGATCCCAGGTCTCCATGTTTCTCAGATTGCGTATTAAAATATATCCCCCAGAGAATATCATCATACTTCACCTGGGTGTGGGCGTGCTTGGAACTACGTTACTGGTGGGGTTTGGTTCCGTTTTGATGAGCAACAGACAAATATGTTCGTGTGTCTGCTAGATATCGGACTGTGGAGCTCATTTGTGAATTATTGAGAAGATAAGTTTGTAATTGAAGATAGAAATATTAACAATCACTAGTTGTGGAACGTAGATCTTGTTTGGAATAGAGAACATTGTAGTTTAAATATGAACGAACATGATAGCGGCTTGTCGAAAAAGAAACCAATGAAAAAGCCGCAACATTGAGAAAGCAATAGGGTATAGTGACAGCCCAGGTATATAACAAGAAAGCAAACTAATCAAAGACGATGGTGGTTTGGTCAATACCGCAGTCTTCGAGGTCAGGTGCGAGCAGCAAAGGCTATAATATTGTGAGCGCAGGAAGAGAAATGACCCATATCTGACTTACCATTGATAATAGACCTCCGAAATGACCTTTTCGACGATACTTTAGGAGAGGTATGTACAGATTCGGTCTCATTTGTTGAGACTGACTCAGTTCGTGTCTTCTTGGGGCGTGTTTTGAACCCTTTTTCGGGATTGCGAACAGGAGGGGGAGGAATAGCAAGATGCATGATGTATTATTTGTCTGGATAATCAAAGTGAAGGCCTTTTGTGTTATATTCATGTCAGGTTGACCGGATATATCTACATATTTTATATATAGACTGTGAGGGGTGGCATGGTTATGCTTATCTTCAACGAGGAAACAGCCAGCGAGCCAGGTGCTTATCAGCCAATCATAGTGTTTCTATAAACATTTGAAGATATCATCTTATCCTACATCTTTGACTCTATAAACGTTGTTCCGGGGTCAAGTTCATATATACGTAAGAGTATAACGAAACCTAGAACAGGGTAGTTATGTAGTGGGTCACTTTGTAGTGGATCGGGATATGCTTGAACAAAGTATAACCTTCCATAAATCAAATACACTATTGCTTGAATCTCTTAGAAAAGCGAAATATGTTCATTATGGATAAGAAAAACCAGTCTATGGCTTTATTTGGCCTTCAGTTGCTCATCCAACCACTCCTGTGTGATACTCTCAAAAGTGCGGAATTCAACCGCATCCCCCCATCCCCGAAGCCACCCCACAAACCGATCAACCATCCCTATCACATGGGTCATCCCACTGGTATCGGGGTGCATTAAGATGGGGAAAACAAAGCTTCCATCCCCTCCATCAACATGGGCATTTTCCCACAGCCACAAGAACATGTCCTTCCATCTCTGCTCAACCACCCGTGCATCAACATGCCCGTGGCTGTTATCGAGATGTGGGAAGTACTGTAGCGCCATCATATCTTCATTATTCCAACCAGTAGGAATTTCCACAAGTGGGTGGCCGGCGGGGCGGGAATCTGCAGCAGCAAGCGACGTGGGGCGCAACCAAGTGCTAGCCGGCTGGGAGAAATCCACTCGTTCGATTGGCGGATCGCTGGGCGTGAAATATGGCTGTGAGTCATGGTGGCTGAGAGAGGAGTCGTATAGGAATTCAAACTCTCTCAGAAGCTCGATTGTAGTTTCGCGGAGCTGGTACATGGGCGCGCGGTAGCCTCGCACTCTTTTGCCGGTTAGCCGCTGCGACACTTCCATACACTTCACTAGCACGTCACGCTCTTGGGCTGGTGTCATTTGGTAGGCACCTTCGTGCGAATACCCATGAAGTCCGATCTCGGCGCCGGACTTGATAATTTCCTTGACGATTGGCTCAAAGGTCTCCATCGTGTGTCCGGGGATGAACCAGGTGACTTTGTCGGCTACTTGGTGTTTTTGTAGCATACGTAGTAGCCGGTTGGCGCCAACTCGACCGGCGAATATGCCTGTGCTGTAGTCTGCCAAGTTGTTGTCTGGATGATCGCCTGTTCCCAGGAAGGCAGAGATGGCGTCAAAGTCAAACGACATAGCGATTTTGACCTTTGGGTGCTTCTGATTGAGCGAGAGCCTTTGGCAAAGCTGGGTATTCTGAGCAACGGAGTTTTCATTTATGTTCTTCTCGGTGCTCTTTACGTTCGCGATGTCGCCGAGTGAAATAATGCCGCTGGCGGGTTTCGCCGAAGTAAGTATCGCTGTTGCCGCGACGATTGATTGAGTAGAGGCCTCGCGAGAGGAGCTTAGATCAAGAAAGTTGATGGAGGCATTTGGGTGAAGCCGTGAAATGTCCCTTTGGAGCTTAGAAATAATAGGATCGAGCGAAACATCGAAGAGATCCTGATAACCAAGGACCACAACAGAGAAACCATTCCCTGGTTGGCTCTCATGGGACTTCGCCTTATTGACCTGGAATTGATGCTGAAGGAATAACTTTGCGTGCACTAGCATTTTTTTCTGACAGCTTATTGGTGTGTGTCCTTGATCCCATTCACTCAACGGAATCTCCCAAATTGCGTCTTTCCCAGAGGGCTCCTGAGTTCTGGCATCGATAATTAAAACATCAACTTGGTCACCGAGAGCGCCAAAAGCGGTGCTTATCCGAGCCTGAGCTTCAGCCAAATTGCTCGATACCAGAGGATCCAGGTTGAGCGCAATAGTCTTGTCCTTGGAACCTTGACAGATGTTAGGTTGTATCTTTTTCTCCATTTGGAAGCCAATCTTACCCGAGTAACAAGCGCTAAAGGCCTCTGCAAACGGCGCAGAGGCCCCTGTAATTATGACAGATTGGTTGCTGAGACAAGATGTCATGTTTGTGGAAGGTTCGTGGAATTTGAGAATCTCACGTCTCATATTCTTAAAGACAGGAACCCAAGGGTAAGCTGGATGAGTGTTGCTTTATATTGGCGAATGGCTTGGAATATATGAACTTGACTGGGGCAGCCATAATAGGTTGGCTTTGCGGGGAAATATCAAAGGCCCGCGAGCATATCCATATGCGGTAACAGCCAGCGAATAGAAGATCCGCTGATCCCGAGACTCTACCTAGGAATGGCCAGACCACTCAGCGCGGGGGTTGCGACTAGGATAGGAGATTTTTCTCGATATCAGCTTGTTGTTACCAACATGATTGCACTCAGCAAGGTTGTGAAATCCCCCATGGACTTCTGTTATTGCCTTATCAATATATCCACTTGCCACATGGCAGGAGCGAGCGAACACATATGGACTTCTTGTAGGTAGATGTGACATGCAATAAGGTATAACTAAATAGGACAAAAGATAAAAGTGTGTCTAAGCCAATACTATCGTCGAGCCTAATCGCATCCTGATTTTCTAGTAGGAGCCAGCGACCTGTTCTCACATATCTTGTATCTTGAAGCAACAAAGTTCCTCTTGTAATATATCAAGAGAACTCTAGAGATAAACAAAAATCATAAATATGTCACGATATTTCCGTTCAAAGATGTGAGTCAGACACGTTTTGATTGCATTGCAATCCAGATCTACTGCCATGGCACAGTTTGAAATCAAAGAAGATGCTGGTGATATCGAGTCTTCCATCCAAGGCTCGATGAAGGAGGGTACCGAGACTGCCATTACACCTGTACTCGCAAAGAGCTTCAATCTCTTCAGTGCTTGCGCTACTGGAATCACTACCGGAAATGCTTGGGCAGTTCTGGGAGGCGGAATTGTAAGGACTAGATCCTTTGTCTAGATTGTGCACTACTAATGCATCCTAGATTGCCTCTCTTTACAATGGTGGACCACCTGGTATAATATACGAATTGTAGGTCCCCACGGTTTACGGAGCTTTCTCGGAATTTGGTGCTGACTGCTACACTAGCGCCACTGCCTCCTTTTTCTATTGCTTCATTGCTGCGTCAATTGCCGAGCTTGCTTCCGCCATTCCAGCATCCGGGGAGTCTACCACTGGGCTACTATAACCGCTGGCCCTCGTTATGGCAGATTGTGTGGTTGGTTCGCAGGATGGCTGAATGGCCTTGCATGGGCATTCGCCGTAGCAGGGAACTGTTCCATGACTGGAAGCATGATTGTCTATTCATACGCACTTTACCATCCAGGTTTTGAGCCGCAGCGCTGGCATGTTTTTGTTTGCTATTTGGTCATCTCCTGGTTGTGTTGTTTTACTGTGATGTTCTGCCAACGGGCTCTCCCACTCATCAGCAGAATTGGCTCTTTCTTCATCGTTGTTGGCTTTGTTATTACAATCTTGGTCTGTGCTATTATGCCGAGCAAGAATGGTGCAGGATATGCGTCAAATGACTTCGTGTGGAAAGACTGGAACAACATCACTGGCTATCCAGACGGATTCACATTCATCGCAGGCATGTTGAACGGGGCATTCGCAATCGGTGCTATTGACTGTGTCACCCACATCGCAGAAGAGATTCCTGAGTATGTAATATGGCTCCTTCCCAGGCGGTTCTTTTACTGATCCTTCAACTAGTGCGAGACGGAATATTCCAAGAGCACTTGCTTGCCAAGTGACCATCGGCTTTGCGACTGGCTTTTGTTATTTAGTCTCGATGTTCTATGCTGTCACCGACCTGCCGCTTATTGTGAACGCCGGTTCGATCTCTCCCCTTGGTGATATATATTTGCAAGCAACTGGCTCCCGAGCAGGTGCAGTGGGTCTTCTTACACTCACAATCGCGCCCATTTTCTGTGCAACAATTGGATGCTATATTACCACAGGAAGGACATTCTATGTCCTGGGTCGTGATGATGCGACACCGTTTTCCAAATACATCGGGGCCATCAGTCCGACATGGCATAGTCCATTGTATGCAACCTTGGCATGCGGTGTGTTTTTGACATGCGTCGGAGCGATCTATGTGGGATCCTATACTGCCTTCGAGGCTTTTATCGGCTCATTTGTGCTACTGACGACGGCCTCTTACTTCCTCGCTATATTCCCACATTTAATCACTAGACGCAAGTACATCCGCCCTGGTCCATTTTGGATGGGGAAGCTTGGTCCTGTGGTCAATACCGTCGCATGCATGTATATTGCTGTCTCATTCGTGATTTACTGCTTCCCATATACCCTGCCGACATCTCCGGAAGATATGAACTACACCAGTGTGATCACATGTGGATTGGCTGTGTTAGTGGCGCTGTGGTGGGTATTGCACGGAAGGGGTAACTTTGCGGGACCACAGGTGGACTTGCACTGAGATAGAATGGAGCATTGAACCCTGATTTTTGTCACTAGTTTTTGGAAATTATATTCTGAAATAATATCCTGAAATAATAATGATTCATCGTATCTCTAGGTTAAACACACATCCGTTGTAGTGTCCAAGTCATAGTGTCTCGCTGGCTCCTTCCCTTTCCAAATTGCCGAGCAGACCCGCTTATGGAGATAAGATAACAAGATAAGAAACATCGATAAGGAGTTGATAAGACATCCCAAGGCCATCCCCAAATGTGTTGTGTCATGGAATCAAAACATATAGACCCCCCGCATTCGATGGACTGAGAGCCGATATCTCTGCACCATGAGCCCTTTCCCTCGGCTATCCCTTGTAACTATTGGCCCTGACTGACCCCGCACGTATCTCAAGTTAGCTCCACCATTGAGAAGTGCCGTTGAGCTTGACATGAAGGGTCTCGACCTCTTGCCTTGGCGTTACTCCAACTGCACACTGAGTGACGCTGTTCTGTTGATAGCCCCCCTCGCGATCAAAAAAGGCCAACTGTCATGGCTCATATTGAGAAACAGCCCTGTACCATGGCTGGCCCGGTGAAAGCTCCTAGAAAACAAACTAAACGTCTTCGCCAGACAAAGCAGAAGTCGGTCACATTCACAGGGTAACTGATGCGACAAGTATATTCAACCTTGCATAAACCATTGAAGCTGACAAGAACAGGTGTTGGACTTGCAGGTCTCGGAAGGTTAAATGTGACGAGCGTCAACGAAATGGGTGTGGAGTTTGCCAGAAATCCGGCCTGGAATGTGCTGGGTACGGCGTAAATCTGTGCTGGATGACAGATAAAAAGCGAGATATTCAAGGCCTACGTCGCAGGCAGATCAGACTAGGTGAGTCCCGTCCCTCTTTCAAAGCCCTATTCGCTAATAACATTTCTTGATTAGAACAATCCACCTCTCCGAGCATTTCGGATGACGAGATCAACCGAATTCTATCTTCCCTTGACACAATTTCAACACCGTCGCGCACCATCTGTGTAGGACCCTTTGCAATATTCTCCAAATCAGAAGATGGCGATAATGAAGACCTTGAACCCCACGCTTCATTGGAGAATAGTCATCAGACACAGGACTGTGACTCGGAGATCACTACTAGTCAATTCGACCCGGTCGACCTGTCCAGTGGAATCTTTGAACTGATTCCGAACGATAATGACATTCCTCATACAGAAAATCTTGAAATGGATTTCTCCTCGAACTGGGAGTCAGTGATAGCCATGATGGATACACCAAATTTTCCAACGTTATCATACCCGGAAGAAAGGTCGCTCACGATATATCCATCTCCACATAGTGAGCTTCCAATGCCTCTCTTCAAAGACCGCAAAACATCCACGCTCATGTATCACTACAAAAACCATGTCGCCGAGCTCCTACAACCAGTCTTCCACCCGAGAAACCCTTGGCGCACAACATATCTCCCATTTGCTCTCGAGGGCTGCCCTGATTTATGTCTTGTCCAAAACTCGTCGCCTTCCTCAGGTGTCTCTATTTCACTTTTTCACAGTATATTATCATCGGCTGCATTCCACCTCCGGAACGTCACGGGTGGATCACGAGAATATCACAACCTCGGTTTGCAGCACCGGGCTAAAGCCTTGCGGGCACTCAAGTTTGCACTCGTAGCACCCAATAACTCCCACCAATATACTGTCTATCTCACAGCGATGCTCTCCTTAGTCACAATTGATGTAGGTTGCTGTCACTCCATACTATGGAATAAGATTGAACCTAACAAATTAGACTATGACGGGAGAAGATTCAGACTTTCCAATTCATCTGAAGGGCTGTCGTCAGCTACAAAGACCTGACCATGCCTCCGATGCGCTCAATGACTCCAGCCGGCAGGTCAGCAGTATTTGCCATTTTCTAAGTCTCCTGGCTCGAACGACCGCACACGAGCTAGAACCTAGACCCTGGGCAACAGAAGGTCCATTCTTTGAGGAGCCTTACTTCCACGCTGACGACACCAACATCCAATACATGTACGGGATCACCCCATATCTTGGAAATCTGTTACAAAAAACCTGTCAGGTGGCCGAGTATCTAGCCTTCTACCAGGATGGGGAAATGCCAGCGATTCTCCTCGAGGCATGCTCGGCATTATACGATGAAATATTTTCGTGGGACATAGAGTCCGAGTCTTTCCATCTCATTACGTTGGAGGAGCCGACGATGCTTCAGATAATACGTTGCCAAGCCCTAGCATTCCATAGCGCGATCGCAATCTTTTATTATCGAGCAATCGAAAACTCCAGTCCAGTGGACCTCCAAGAGCGAGTAAGAGCAATTTGGAAGAACCTCTCGCTAGCCGAAGACCTCAAAGACGCATATTCATGTGGCGACAAACGCGCAGCTCCTATGTCTTGGCCAGCATTTATCGCTGCATGTGAGGCAACCGATCGACAGCCTTGGATTGCATGGTGGGAGCGCGTCCAGGGTTACTCGATGGGCAATTTCAAAAGACAATGGAAAGTTATACAGGAAATTTGGAATATCATGAATTCAGACGAGAATGTGGTTAACTGGAGGGATGCCCTCAAACAATCAGGCAAGTTGGTTTTGCCTATCTGAAGGTCTCATATAGCGTGATTCATACATAGTTAAAATCTCAAAGTTCGAAACATGTTCCAGACTCTTTTCACAACTCATCCTTTGCAGGTGGGGCCTTGGCCTTAGGACCTGTCTTCAACTTCGCCATGGATGCCAGAATATCAACGATCAAATCCGCAGCAGCGATAGAAGTAGTCTCAGCAACGGTGTCGTAAGGAGGGCTAACTTCCACCACATCGGCACCAACAAGGTTGACACCCTCGAGGCCTTTAATGAAGCGCTTCAACTCACGAGTGGTCCAGCCGCCCGACTCGGGAGTTCCGGTCGCAGGGGCAATGCTGGGATCAAGGACTGATTCATGAAATTAGTCTCCGATGTGTCTTGAGCAGGGCAAAGGTCAAATCTTACCGTCAATATCAATGGAAAGATAAGTCGGAGTATCTCCGACAACACTTCGGACCTTATCGATGATTCCCGACATGCCGATATCGTCAATCTCGTGGGCTTCGATAATCGTAAATCCAACATTCTGGTCGATCTCATAATCCTTAGGACTCTGTTGATAATTTCGATTAGTATTGATTCACGACAAGAGGCAAAGAGCCACTTACGAAAAGCTTCGTCCTCAGACCGCCATGCACACTGGTTCCCTTGGCAATACAACCCTCCCGACTCGCATGCCAGAAGAAAGTTCCATGAGTGATCGCTGACTGGTTAGACGCGATTCCAGTGTAACCCTCATAAGGATCCCAAGTGTCGAGGTGCGAATCCAAGTGAATAACAGAGATCGGTCCATAGACATGTTTCAACGAGCGCAAGATCGGCAAGACAATCGAGTGATCTCCACCCAGACTCACAATCCGAGGGTGTTCCCATGAGCTCCCCTCGGAGGTCGGGTGGTAGAGAACCTGTCTATAACCCTGTTCCATTTGCTTGAAAGCGTGCGCGGCATCGAATGGAGTAATGGGGATATCTCCACAGTCAATCTTGTAATATGTTAGCAATCCTGACATTGCTTTTCATAGTTGTAATTGCGCTGCACTCACAATTTCAAGACCCTCGTCATATGGGTCCACCTCCCACACGGTGTTATAGCTGCGACCCTTCTTTTCGCGCGCCGATCCTGCGCGGATGCCTCGAGGGCCGAATCTTGCGCCGGGGCGGTATGAGGTTGAGGTGTCGTAGGGGAAGCCGAGAATGGCGATGTCGAGGGGCTTTTCCGAAAATTAGAATCTCTATGGAGAAATTGGGGAAACATATCCTTCGGTTGTAACATACCTTATTGTGAGATGCTGCGAGACATCTTTGCCATTCTAAGTGGGCGAATGTGACGGGCTGAGAAAATGGAAGATCGACGTCAAGATCTATTGCCTGTTAGTATGTCGATGTTAGGTTTGTCTTGCATGACTGACTTTCTATCGGGTGACTATACTCAGGGCCAACATTTAAAGCAATGGCGCCCTGTAGGAGAAGGGACAATGTGGAAGTTGTGAAGCGCATTTTGAGGATTATTCGAACAGTTGTACATCAAGAGTGGGATTGGGGTGGCCATTGCTCTTTTATAGCCTTAAATTTGCACAGAACCAGCTATGCGCTATCTCATTACCAAATCAAATAGGTCTGCAAGTGCTACAAACGCGATTGATGAGCAATGTTGTCTCGCAGACTCTTTCCACAACTATTCATGCGGGGACTGTTGCTTGACGCTAAGATAGCCAAGATAGTGACCCGCCGTTATCGGTGTCCTTCGCTCTATACCCTTTTTCACTACTCCTCACGAATAAATGTATTGTGGAGTTGGTCTTTTTTGTTATATTATATGGCAATGAATAAATAATACGTACTTTCTTATTAAATGTTAAGTTCTATTTAAGACTGAACTGAAGGCATCGACTTTCTCTTGGCGGAGGCCTTAGGCCACTCATCCCACGGCAGGTAGGTGGTTTCATCATTCTACAATGATATATCTTGTTTCCTATATATCTTGGTTATCCTTCTTGCTCTCTATAGTCACGTAAACTACGTGCATTGGAATCTTCGTTTTTCAGGTTTCTTTTTGCTTTATTGAACAATTTACTTTTCCCTCAGTCTCGGTAAATATTGTTGAGATCACTAATCCTGTTTGACAGGACTGGCAGCTACAAATAGCTTCCTCTCCCTCTTCTTCTTTTTTCCCCCTTACACACAGTACTGTTAGCTTCAATACAATCAAATTGCCTGCTCGGGATTCGGAGAATGAAACCGAGGCATTTATTTTGAACAACGCTGTAGATATGTGCATTGCTCAGCTGTCTTTGCAGTGCAGAATAGATGTGTGATATACTGTATTATTGAATAATTATCGCAGGAAACAGAACGACCGTTATATCTGGCCTAGAGACGAGAGCCCCTGGCTTTCCTTGGGGCATGTGCAGCATATGCGCGCACAATAAAGTCACAACCTCCAACGGTGACCTTCTCACCACTCTTGCGTCCCCACATTTCAACATCTAACCCATTAACCATTGAGGGCAAGCTATCGCTGCCTGGACCCAATGCATGTTTTACCTCCCAGTGGCCATCGGTCCATTCTTCTCGTCGCGCGCTCACCTCCTCTCCGGTGATTTGAACAGCCCGTTCCCCAAGGGCTGTTTGCCCAACTGTATGGATTTGTTTCTGATGAAGGACCAAATACGAGCCCCCAATTTGCGCTAGGAACATCTTGGTAACTTGGTGCTGACCCTCTTCCAAAACACCCTCATCAGACTCCAAGATCCACGAAAGGCCACGCCCTGGCCCTGCCGGCCCTTCGCGAAACGGAAGATACCTCCACACCTCTTCATAGTCCGTCATCGGCGCTCCGGGTACATCTGGTCGAGCCATGGTCCCAGTCTCCAGATCATCTCCATTGGGGAGCGGGATAAATGGACATGGGTTGCTGATGTTGAAATTGTGGTGGGAGTCAATCTCATGGGTGAACACCACACGCCCTATGGGATGTCAGCCATTTGTTACGTACCATCCATGGTCAGACTATTGGATTGGGATCGTACGTGGATTTTTGTCTTTCTGGATACACTCTCCCGCCAGCGCCCAATCGAGTTTACCGGATTGTTTATCGACTCGCAGGTCAACGTACCATTCACCAACTGTTATCACCAATGTGTCGGTAGTTTCAAAGGGTGTTTCCGATCCCCATCGCATCGAGATGCGTGTTGTCAGGCTCGATTCCAAAACTGGCACGGATAAATTTGACATTTCGGTGGCGATAATTCTTCGAGCCTACTCCGAAGAACGGGGGAAATTTTGGCAGGTCAAGGATAGAATAGGTAATCTACATGACTCAATTGGACATATAAATACTATAAATCGAATATGCTAACATATCTTGGACCCCAAAGGGTCGTTCTCCACAATCTCCAACTTCCAAGAATCGAACCCCGCTCTACCGAGTCTCGCTGCCGGTTGCCGTTTTCGAAGAAGACTTTGAGATCGTGACTCACTTACTTACTTATGCGATTGTGAATATTCACACATTGATTCGTTATAAAATCGATCAAGACATCCTTGATGTATTGTGAAATATCCGTATCCTATTCTACTTGGCTCTTCTGTGTCACTGCGTGACAAATTGGAACACAATGACTTGGATCCTGATCGCTGCTTTCATAGTAGCCTTCCTTGTCTACCACCTCTCTATTTCTACTTTGTTTAGCCCTTTGGCGCGAATTCCAGGTCCAAAGTCCTTTGCTTTGACCAAGTTCAAACTGGCCTACGAGGACTACAAAGGAACTCGCACCCGAAAGATCAATGCTCTTCATCAACAATATGGACCCGTCGTTCGTATCGGCCCCAGCGAGGTGACCTTCAACAGCATCTCGGCCTTGCGTGCAATCTACGGTGCCGGAAGTGGTTTTGAGCGCACCGGCTTCTACCACATGTTTGAGGTTTATGGTCGAAAGAACATGTTTTCATTCGCGACCGCAAAACAACACGGAGAAAGGAAGAAGCTTTTTGCCCACGCCTACGCCAAATCCGTGATGCTCAAAGGACAAAATGCCGAGATGGTTGAGAACAAAGTCAAGCTGTACATGGACCTTTTGGAACGTGATGGAGGGAAAAGCGAGATCTTTTCTACCTTGCATTACTTCTCCCTCGACACAATTACCGACTTTCTTTATGGATCTTTCGGTAAGACTTCATGTCTCGAGGGATTGGGGCAAGACCGCGCGCTCATTGGAGATATCATCGATACTGCCCGTCGCAAGCTATCGTGGTATGCAGTTCATTTCCCTCACTTCACGGAATGGCTTTACTCCAGGACTGGGGTTAGTGGGTGTATTGCGAAATGGCTGTACCCGATGCAACTGCCAACAACCTACAGCGGCATCAGGCTTCATGCAATGAAAGCGACTCTGAAGTATGCTAGTGCTTCTGCCAGTGAGAAGGCGAGCGCAACTGCCCTAATATCCAGACTGTGGAGCCACCACCATTCCGAAAAGCCAAATGGAATTGATGATCTCGATATTGCATCAGAATGTGCAGACCATCTTTTGGCAGGCATTGACACCACCAGTGACACTTTGATGTTCCTGATTTGGGCTCTTTCTCGGCCAGAAAACAAAGAATTCCAAGACAAACTCATCGAGGAAGTTCGCAATATCCCTGAAGAATCGCTGAATTCCGATGGCATCCCCAGAGTAGAAAGCAATGACAAGCTTTCTTACCTCGATGCAGTTATTAAAGAGACACTCCGGCTCTACGCACCTCTTCCCGGGTCAGAACCACGCTCACTTCCTACAGCAGCCACAATTGATGGCTATACGATTCCACCCCGGACGGTGGTTTCCATGGCTCCATACTCTCTCCATCGCAACCCTGACATTTTCAAGAATCCCACCAAATTCGACCCTGGTCGCTGGTTGGAACCCTCTGAAAACTTGGCCGATATGAAGAAATGGTTCTGGGCATTTTCTAGTGGAGGAAGGATGTGTATTGGCATGCAGTATGTTCCTTCCTTCTCAGTAGAGACGACTTTCGGCTTTGACTATGAGAGATGACTAACAAAGAACAGTCTGGCTATGGCAGAAATGACTACTTTGGTTGCAACCATTTATCGAAAATATAGGACTACACCAATGGGAGATTTCGGTACCGTCTCTCCTGGTATCACAGGTCGCTATGAGGTATTCTATGATGACACTTGTAGTCGAATGCGGGTATGTTCAGTTAATATGTTTCTCTCGGGGGCTTGCTAATTATGGAAATAGGAACACGAGTGTCAGATTGAGTTCACACCACATTGAGCAATCTAAGTAGTGTTGCTGTTGTGCGATGTGCTTGATTTGAATTGCATCATATTGGGGTTTTCACAGATTGGATGATACATTAGCCCTACTCTTTGTCAATTAAACATAAAATAAATATCTACCAGATTCTAATCTCAATTAATCTGTTTCTTTGCTATTGATAATATCTTCAAACGGCCACATGTGGAAGCAGTCTGCGAGCGTGGGGAATATCTAACCGGCCATGGCAAACTCGCATGTCAGACTATCAGCATTTGGATTTCATCGGTTCAATATTTTCGTTTTTCTTTTCCCCTTTGTCTCCCTATCTGAAAGATTCACTTATCTAGAATCTCAGCGCCACTTAAGCTAACGCAGACTGTCGATCTAGATTGCTACAAATGATAGGTTGAATAAGAAGCCCCCTGGTAACACTGAAATGTAGTCTTGCGTTTATATCGTATGAAGTCTAATTGACATCTTAGAGAGCAGGCCACTGTATTTCCTGACCTCTGTACGTTCCTTGGCTTGAAATAGCTGAAGAACTCATCCGCTTCTCGTTGTAATAATTCCTCCTCCGGTATATCTTCATTGATCATACGATACCTTGCTATGCACGTTTATTTATGTTATGTCATTCAAACATTCACACTCTGCGCACCATGAACCACAGCCGCACGATCAAAATCTGTCAAGTCAGTGCTATCGAATCTCCAGGCAGGCGTCTTCCGTTCAAAGAGGATATCAAGCTCCTCAAATGTCCTTCCCTTGGTTTCTGGCAAGCACATAAACGCCCAAGCAATCACCCCAACGCTGAGTCCGCCAAACAAAAATCCAATTTTGCCACCCCAATTCGCCTCAAGAGGGCTCATTGCATAGGGAAGAGCAGCTGTAATAACAAGGGAAAAGATATGGGCAAAAGAACATGCCACACCCATGGTCTTTCCGCGTATTGTTGTGCTTGGAATCTCGGCAATCAACGCATAAACAAGGGGACCAAGACCGAAGTTGTAAATAAAGTAAAAGACAAGCAGCATAGATGACTTAGCATATAGGGCGGCCTTGTTGGAAGACGGTGCGAGATCCAAAAATCCAATCAAAAACATCAAGACTGCAGTGGCGCAACAAGTTGAAATGTAGCCGAATCTTCTACCCCAGATTGACACTAAAGGCCATGAAATCACATTACCAACAATACCAAGCGCAAACAAACCAAGAGAGAGATCGAATGCTTGATCTGTTGACACACCCGCCAGCTGGAAAAAGTAGGTACAATATGAAGACACAACATTAATCCCGCAGAGGAATTGTCCGCTGTAACAGATTGAACATATAGCTGTACGTCGGAAGTTTGTACCCTTGAAGCAATCAAGGTATGTAGTTGTAGATACACTCTGCTCCCCCAATATAATAGTTTCTTTCATATGAGTCAGAGTATCGTCGAGATCCTGAGTATATCCAGTGCGTTCCAGGGATTTTGCTGCTTCTTCGTACCGCGCTTTCTTTACCAGAAACCAGGGTGTTTCGGGAGCGAAGAACGCGCCAAGGATGAAGAGCACAGGGAAAGCGTATTCTGTGATAAAAGGGATCTTGTACGCCCATTTATCCGCTCGAGTTTCGGTTCCACGCAAGATTCCGATTGCAATAAATGACCCAGCCACCTGAGCAAAATTATTGGCTGCCAGTCCGATACCTCGAAGACTAACAGGGAGGATTTCCGAGATGTATGCCGGTCCAAGAACGGGAAAGCCGCCAGTAAGGAGGCCAGTAAGGAGGTCTCCGGCGAAGATAATGCCGGCAGTGTTACCGAGGACTTCCATCAAGAGAGTTCCGAGGGAGAGCGTTGTGCAGCATAGCAGTGTTTTTCTGGGCCCGAAACGATCAACGCACCATCCTGCCCAAATTGGAGCCACCAAGAACCCGATGATAGGTGCGTATGGGAATGCGGATGTCCAAGAAGGAGAGAGAACGTAAGTGCCTGAACCAGCAGGGTATTCGTAGCCAAAATCCTTGCGGAATTGTGGAACACCGACTAAACTGCCGAGGATTGTTGGATCGTAACCAATGACGAAACCAGGTAGAACAAAATAGGCTGCCCAGAAGATAGCACTCCTGTGCTTGGAAAGAGCTTGTCGTACGGTCAGGTCATGTTCTCGGCGAGTGGCCCTTTGAGAACTCTCGATCAAGTCGCGTTCAGCGTCATTTTTCAGATCTGGCGAGATATCTATGGAGGGTCGAGATTCAGGGGAGGCCATGCTGGGTGGTTACTCTGGTTCAAGCTACTAGAAGCTTAGGTCCACGAGTACATTTATATACTCACCGTTCTTATCCGAACCCCTCTAACACGTTCGCATTGGGATAAGGCCGCCTTCCTAATCCAGCATTTTCTTTGAGCTATCTGTACAAATACGCGTGCCAATGGAGTGCTGACCCCGCGTTATCATTATAGCACTACTTGGGGGCTATGACACAAATGATAGTAGCCGAATAGGTACTCTACCCCACAGTATCCCCAAACCTAGTCGAGAATGCGAGAATGCATCCGGCACTTATTTTCCCCTCTTCATCAATTAATAAGGGAGACATTGGGACTGTTGTGATGTGGGCTTGGTGAGCAGGCGGAGTCGCAATGACATTACAGTTCAGGGCGCTAGGTCTTTGTCACTCTCTTCACATTGGAATGACGATAAGTAGCTGACCTTGCTTTGCAAATGGTCTATGTTGGCCTATGGACAAGAATCCCATCGAAAAGAGGGGTGTCAAAGGCTTATCTCTGGCCTTCAGTGGTTCCATGGCCTCACTTGCTTCTTTGGCTCACCTGCCTATTTAGGTAATATTTGGATAACCTTTATTATTAGTGTGCTTTTCTGCTCATGTGATCAGTGGACTTCCAAGCTTATTGAATCAATATTGTAAAAAGCATTTAAAGCTACCTTCAGCAGCATTCACAGTTACCCTCGCCTTTTATTCCGTGTCATATATTCCTCAATCTATGGAACATCCTACCATGGAGCATCTCCCAAAGCACCATGAGCATGATGATGTACCCGGAACTATCCTCCTCGTTGGTACAGCGCATGACAGTAATATATCTGCTCAGCAGGAAGGAATAATTCTAGAACCACAACCCAGCACAGATCCAAATGATCCCCTCAACCGATCACAACAGTGGAAACATCTCAACATCACCATGGTATGTTTATACACATTTGCCATTGGAATATGCACAGCTGCGCAGTTCTCCATCATGACACAAATATCCGAATCGCAAAAAGTCAGTATTGCAGATCTCAATTTGGGCACTGGATTGATGCAGTTGATGCAAGGATGGGCAAATCTCTTATGGCAACCTATCGCCATGACCTATGGCCGCAGGTTAGTCTACCTTGTGACCATTGTATGCTCTATAGGACCAGTTTTGTGGGTTCCGCTGGCTCATGGCGCCAGCCAATGGTATGCGCACCGAATTCTTCTGGGACTATTTTGTTCGTCTATGGAGTCTCTACCGGAACTGTCTGTCCAGGATCTCTTCTTCGCTCATGAACGAGGAAATTATATGGCCCTATATACTTTTGTCTTGTTCGGATCAAACTTTATTGCGCCCTTTCTCGCGGGGTTCATAGCGGATGGCCTGAGCTGGAAATGGGTTATGTACCTTGCTACAATATTCCTGGGCATCTGCTCACTGATCCTATTCATGTTCATGGAGGACACAATCTATTTTCGAAAAACAAGCGACAGCGCGGCCCAGCAATATGAAATTGTTCCCGCGGATGACAATGGAGATCCAGGGATCATCGCTGCCGAGCGACTCGAGACTGAAACAGCTACCTGGGGCCAGACTAGGATGTCCACAAACTCGAAACCTCGCTGGCGGAGACTAGCGTTGGCTACCATATTACGAGGTCGTCCAACTCACAAGCAAATGGCATTGAAGAGCTGGCAGTCGTTAAAAATACCTTTCCTCTTCCCTAATATTCTCTGGGCCGGTCTCTTATACGGATCAAACCTAGCCCTTTACAGCGTGATTAATGCAACAATTTCGAGTATCCTGGGATCCAGTCCTTACAATTTTCCTCCAACGTTGGTTGGTGTTGCTTATCTATCCCCGTTTGTCTTCGGCGGCGCTGCATCCGTTTGGGCGGGAAAGATTTCAGATTCTCTCGCCATCAAACTTGCAAGGCGCAATGGAGGTGTCCGGGAACCAGAGCATAGGCTGTGGGGCCTTCTGGTGTCTGCTCCTATTGCTGCAGGGGGGCTGCTCATGTGGGGGGTTGGGGCCAGTCAAGGGGCACACTACATGGTTTTGATCATCGGAATTGGTATCACCACCTTTGGAGTCGTCTGTGCAAGTGCAATATCATTAGCGTACGCTGTCGATTGTTTCAAAGAAATGGCCGGTGAATCCTTTGTTTCCATCAATATCATTCGGAATACAATAGGGTTCGGCTTCAGCTACGCTATAACACCGTGGATTGAAGCAGTGGGCCTTCGAAACTGCTTTATCTCAGTGTCATTGATCTCGTTCTTTTGTACATATACATTTATTGGTGTGGTTCTCTGGGGGAAATCATGGAGAAGGATGTCTGCAGAGCGATATTGGGAATTTGTTGCTACCGAGGGAGATAGGGCCTACGCATATTAGCTCTCCCAGTGGTAAATATATAATCCAATCATTAATTTTGGGTCCGGCCCTGGCGATAGAATAATATTGGGCGGGGAAATCGCTATAGGTAAACACGATAGACACTTTGATTTATTTCCATTCCAGAAGGGTCTTGAGACTGTTAATGTTCAGACGGACCCTCGAGGAAATCCGGTCCTCATTCCGATGTCTTTCCATATTAGGAAATTACCGTATTAGGCAACCGAGGTCCGTGCTCCCATCCTCGACCCATTAGTCATCTCCCCGCCTGCCCAGCCCTTGAGGTGAGATACATTGATCGTCCACGAATGCTGAGGAACAACCTTCGAAAAATTTGTAGAGAATTGTAATTTTTTTTATTCAATGAGTATAATTTTAATAAAATAATCATATGTGAGAAATATGAGAAGGATGGTTGCCTGTTCGAAGAATATTGACTGAGCGGGTGGGTGTCTTTTAGATAACCATCGCCTTCTATATTCGTCCTCATAAGTTCAACATTTAACCGGTTTCTATATTATCAAGTATCTTGGCTGGATATTGAGAACTCTACGGAGTAGAAATCAGGTGCTTATGAGCTTTTTATTAATCGGGCCCAGGTAGTGCATTAGTACTATGGGGCCACTGCATATTCCCTTCAATACATACAGATGTTGTAGGTCTCATTTAATTTCGATGGGAAACTGAACCTTCAATATTTCTCATTCAGACTAACAACTTTGTGTTTGTTGAGACTATGTCCCATGTTACTGGGCAGATACCAAAATAGATTCCAAGGATTCGCTGATAGCAGAATTCCTTCTCGGCCCGTACCCCATGTTCCCGTGTAGGGATTTTAGCCGTAGATTAGTAGGAACAGACTCTGTGACATTACAGCTGCTCTTAGAGCCGGGCCGTGGCCCATATTTTAAACCCATGAAGACCAGATAATAATAATACATAATTGAGTACGGGGATATGGAGTTGCTGCGTATCTGTGAAAGATCCGAAGTCGCTGAACACAAATCCCTACAAAGCTGCTGGGTTATCATCGACCAAATCGTGTATGATTTAACATCTTTCGTTGAATTTCATCCGGGTGGATCGAAGATAATTCTTCAGTACGGTGGCAGAGACGCTACGCAAGCATTCAAAGGCATTCATTCTAGTGATACGCTGCAAAAGTATATGAAAATCGAGTGAGGGATATCATTGTACTTCAAGATATGTGACTGGATACTGACCTATTTGCTTTCACATAGCGATATCGTAGGTAAAGTTGATACACCAGCACCAATCCCCAAAATGAGTGTAAAAACACCCGATACCAAAGAGTCCAATGGGGAGGTCTCCAGCCCATCGCCAACTCCAAAACTGCGACTAAGGAGTATCTTGAACATGAGTGACTTTGAAGTGGCCGCGTCGCAGCGCCTGTCCCCCAAAGCCTTTGCATGTGAGTCTTTCTTTTCTTAACCTATAGTACTTTCCATTTACATTGAAATTAACCTCCAATACTGCAGTCTTCAAAGCAGGGGCTGAGGATGAGAAAACAGAGCAATGGAACCGCAATTCCTGGCAGCTTGCTCGATTCAGACCTCGCATCTTGCGGCCTGTGGAGTCTGTCGATTTATCCACCACAATCCTAGGAACGGAACTTAGCGTCCCGTTCTTCATTGGGCCGGCCGGAGGTGGCAAACTTGCCCACCCAGCGGGCGAGGTCTTGATGACCAAAGCCGCGGCGAAGAATGGTGTCCTTCATTGGGTGTGCAATATGGCTGGATGTACCCAGGAGGAGATGGCGAACGCTCGTGCTCCAAACCAGACCACGTATTGGCAGATCTACGCAAAAGCAAACTTGGAAGTCACTGAAAAGGAAATCAAACGAGCGGTCGAGCTTGGGTACAAAGGGTTTGCGTTGACGGTTGACGCTATCCGTGCCGGGAAGCGTGAACGAGATTTGCGAATGGAAGCTGCAGAGTATGAGGTGTGTGGACTTTGGGAGACATTTGATCATGTCGAAGGGCATCTTTCTTATTGACTGTTGTTCAGGCCTTACACTCCGATGAACCCGAAGACGAGGACGACGATACGACCACGACCGGCGGAATTAGTGCGCAACGCGGGTAAGTATTCTAACACCCTTCCATATTGTTATCTTAAAATCTCATTTTTTTACGACATAGAGCGGTCGTCTCGTCTTTTGATTGGGACTCGGCCATTACGTGGTTGCGCGGACTGACAGATTTACCCATCGCCATCAAGGGTATTCAGTGCTGGGAGGACGCCGCCCTGTGCATGAAATACGGAGTCCATCCCTGGATCTCCAACCATGGCGGACGGCAACTGGAGGGAGCCCCGTCGGCGATTGAAACATTGATCGAGATTCGTCAGAATGCACCGGAAGTCTTTGATAAGTGTGAGGTAATTGTGGACGGCGGTATCATGAGAGGTTCCGATGTGGTCAAGGCAATTGCAATCGGTGCGAAGGGGGTGGCTATCGGGCGCGCATTCTTGTACGCGTTGGCATTTGGAGAAACCGGCGTGAGCAAGGCTATCCAGATCCTCAGGGCTGAGATGGAGACAACAATGGCTCTCTTAGGCGTGACTCGGATCGAGGATCTGAATCCATCATATGTGGCAATTCGGGATTCTGCTGTTCGGTCTCGCTTGTAGATTCAATATTTTGGGTGGCGGATAACTTAGTGTAGATATTTGTGGTTGTTCCATGTGATAGAAGAGAAAGTCTTAATATTCATTTTCAGAACTTATGTGCCTGATTGCCTTGGTCCCCATCTGGTTGATCTTCCTCCCTATCTCTTCCAAATCATTAGCTGAATATAGTCTACGACCTTTGTCTCGCCTTGCCTTCTTGTACTTATCTATACTAATTCCAGCTAATTTGTTCGTTATCCAAACCTTACTAGTTATTCCATTACTTAATACGTAGATATCGTCTGCCGAGGAGTCAGAATATAGACCGGGTCTGAAACCAAGAACCATTTTTCAATTGATTCAAATAGAAATATATACACGCGTATGAGCTGAGAATGAAAAGGGCTCCGAGAATACCAATAGTAGAGGATGCATATTGGGTTACTACATTTTGCATGTTTGCTAGCGACCTATACCCCATCATGACCTTGATACTCACGAATCCCACTCCCATTGGGCATGAAGAGAGTATTACTATCCACTTTGCGCTGATCCTCGAGCTTCTCAGCCGTCTCAACTCCTGCCACTGGTAGTTTATACTGCAGTGTCTTGCCTTCCATTCCAGGAACGGCGTGTGGAAAGGATAAGTATTCGGGTAGTAAGCCAAGCTGACGGAGTGCTGTAGATTGATCCCAACTAATGTGTTCATGGTACAGTCTGTCTCCACGAATGTTCACCACTGCATAGAATGGAATGCGGAGGGGAAGATGAGTTGGCGGGATTCCGGGAAGACTAGATTTCGAAATATCAGCATTTGACAAAAAAACAAAAAATAGGGTAGAACAGTAGTGATCAAGTCCATAGTTATTCGCGAAAGGAGACGTAAAAGGATACGTATATTCACTTACAGCCAATCAACCTCTTTATCGTGGTTGAACATGAAAATAAATTCATCCACAATGCGGTCAACACCAAGCGTTCGACTGACCAAGTTCATTTTAATGCTGTCCGGGTTACTGAAGATGAAGTGATTGCGATAGAAATCCGTTAGGCGCTTTCGTCCAATACCTCCGGTCATCTAGTTGATATCGATTCGTTAGCTAAGGATTCGATGACCAAAAGAAAGAGGGAATCTGCACTCCAGTGAGACACTGCTTACCGTGGGAATGTGATTAACATATGGCTCTCGCACCATAGTAGCCATTGTCTTCTCAACAGAACGATTCTCAAATTCCCAATACGTGTGCTCATCCCATATTTTCTCCAGCTCAAATATGGGACCACCGATATACTTCTTGATGAACGTCAAGCTGCGGGTATGAGACACCGCTGCAGCAGAATAGACAAAACCAGGGCTGTGGGGCATGATGAAATCCGTTGCAACCTCAGGGTATGTATAAATTGTTAGTCCCTCTTTTTCTGTGGGGACTGTTTCGCCTGCTTGATGAACCAGCTGAGGCTTGGAGGCAGAGGCGAAATCAAATGCAGAAGAGAAAGTGACAACAGCCACGATGTTGTCGGAGCTTGCCACAGCCGTCGCAAGCTGTCCTAGGAATGATGATGTATATTCTTCGGGTGTCCCATACACTGCCCATCCGACCAGATTAGTTTTCGGCCAGAATTATACGCGAGAGAAAATATGCCTCTATAACCTACCGAGTATGCCAAATTTGTCTTTCACGTCACATTCCTCTAGACCCTTGAGGCTCTCAATAGCCTTATCGAGGAATCCAGCTTCTAGTGACCAGTCTCCAGGCTCGGAGGTCTTGCGCGCGGCAATACGCAAGACGGCATATCCCTCCTCGGCCCATTTGTATTGTGGGACGGGATCCAGGGTAGTTGATGGCAGCTCTGCGGAGGGAATATACGGAAAATCATAGCCGGGATCTATCACAATGAGTCCAGGACCATGTCCCCGACGGGAAAGTGGAGGCTGTAGAGTAACATTTGGTGCTAATGTCACCCGCGGGGCGTTTGGAAGCTCTTCGAGGCCTGGGATGTCACTGGAGTCGGTGGAAGACATGTTGATGCAGAGATTGAGTTTAGGAATTATTTGCCTAACTTTGTAATATGAATTGAAATGGGAAAGGTATCAATCGCTCTATTTGAAGACAAATAATAGACGGCGATATGATATGAGGGTTATCAGTCGGAGATCGGTGATCGGAAATGCGGCTATAAGCCTGCGGGCCGGAACGGTTAAGAGATAACGTCCGACTACGTATCCGGCTAATGTTCAGTGTTATGATAGGCCAATCGTACACTGTATGTAGTGTGGAATTTGAAGGGGTTGACTCATTTGACAAACAGCAAGCATAGTTAAATGATACATTTTAGCATTTTATTCAGTACGCTCGTTGGGGGGGGTTTCTTTGGTTGGAATACACCCATTTCGCACAGCGAAAGAAGGTAAAATAATGGACAAAAAACTGAAATACGGGGTTTGATTGTAGTTTGACTACTATTCTACAAAAGGCTCTACGATGACATCCATTCTGTAAAAGTTTCCACTCGAAGAGCATTTTTCATTCCCCAATTTTCTTTTAGACAGGAAGATCAAACTGGCAAAATTGCGTGCAAATGAGATTGTATTTGAGGTCTAGATTTTGAATGAAAACTTATGTCCAGTGTTCGTCCCGGATGATGTGCAGGTACGAATAAAATCTAGTAGCATTCTGGCCTGGGCATCATCATGTGTACCAATAGAAAGTACATTGCTGAAAAAACCATCAAAATGAAAGACGTCAGCGATTTCTCCCGAGTAAAAGATCTATTAAATGATTATGGTTAATGGGTATATCTCACCTGAGATGATTGTGCTTGTCCAATACATGGAAAATGGCGTTGGTGCCAGCCGGTTGGGAACGTTCACGATAAGCGTTTAAAAAAGCTATGGCCCCATCAAAAGCCTCCTTGCTACATTGAATGTCAGAACTGTATGACCGAAACCGAAATGTTAGGTTGGAGGAATCACGTACACCTCCCACTTGACGGTACCAACATATGTTGGAAGTTTGATAGCATCTCTACACACGTAGTGGGTTAGCAATTTGAGCGGGGAACGGCCGATTGAAGTGTTGATCTGTTAACCTACAGAGCTGCTGAGTCTTTTGGAAGGTTTTTGAACAACCCGAGTGCAGACCGAGGCTATTCATAGTAGGAATTTTGAGCCAAGGATCCTTCTGTAAGCTAATGGAATCAACTTACCCCCCAGACATTCTCGGCATCAGATCCATAGTATCGCTGAAGGATCTTTTGACGAATAGGTCGCGTTCGATCATACCAGAATGGCACACTCAGGTATATCACCCCAGCCACTGGTGGGAAAACATCGGATCTGGTCACAGTGCGCTCGGAGTCACCTGCCGCATACAAATTCATAGCGACATGAGCACCACCGGAGGAGTGTCCAAACAGGACAACTTTGTCGACCGAGCCGTTGCCAAATTGTGGACTGCTAATATTGTTGTATATCCATTCTCGGACAAGCTGCACGTCGTCGGCACCAGCAGGATACTTGATGGTCGTTCGCTCTGCTTCCTTGGAAGAAACTTCGTTCTTGCTGTAGGGAACAAGCTGGTGATTGGCAATCACAACGATAATACCTTGTTGGGCAAAATAATTTCCTATATTGCCCCAATACTGTATTCCGGATCATGGTTAGATAACTGTAGAATATAAATAGAGGCGCAAAGACCACACCTTTTCGCTCCATTGTTTATCACCGGAAAAGAAGCCACCTCCATGAAAGAAAGCTAACACAGGACTTCCGGTTTCTGAGATTTCAGGAGCAAAGTAAACATCGAGCACATTCCGTTCTGCGGGACCATATCGATGATCACGGGTAACATGCACTCTCGGTGAGTGTCCTGGAACGAATGGCTCGTATATTTGACGCCAGGTCTTTTGGCCCCCCAAAATATCAGATGTCAGTGAAATCAGAAGGCAAATAGTTTAGTTTTTCAACAAACCTCCTCATCACCTAGATTGAACCGATCCGTATTGAGCGCGATTTTCTCGTAGACCTCTTTGTAAGCGTCTTCCATGATGATAACAAGCTAGAGGCCTTGAGTATTGACGGAGAATCTTTAGGATTGAATGTGAATAGTATAACAAAATGAAGTCATCCAGCGAGATTTCCTCACATAATTTCGCTATTCTTTTAACCCTCGAAAATAACAACATAGGATAACATAATTCGGGGCCAATCAGCCTTCAGAGTGTTTTACGGCACTTGCACCGGTGCTCGGCCCGAATACCTCGACAAGATACGATAACCCATTTCCAAGGTTCCAAGATTGGCTTCAGGCTGATTGATGATTAGCCCCCCTCAAAAGGAAAAAGAAAAATATACTTGTGTTGAGGAAAGGGTCTGGGATAGAAACTAAAATATTAAACGCTTGAATACAAATCTTTAGGCCGGTTGATTTTCCAGAGCTACGGATTTGCCAAAAGCAACGAGATATGGATTGACCTCGGGGGGGGTGAACCTTGGAAGCCAAGAAGCGGGGGAAGCCCATCCTTATCAGCCAAAATATACCTTGTAGTCTCCCCGGGTAAATGGGAGCAAACAAGCATAGAATCATACGACTTTCTGTTTTCTCTTCTCTTTCTGACTGTGATTATGCCTCGACCAAAAATCCGCCCAGAAAACCGGGTCCGCGCGTATAGAGCATGCGATGCATGCAAAACATCTAAAACGCGCTGCGACGCTAAATCCCCCTGCGCCAATTGTATCAAAAAGAATCGCTCCAGCGGATGCACCTACCATACCGCGTCCACGGGCCGAGGAGGTCGACGCAGATTGAAGTCCCGGTCGCTTTTGTCTCCTGTCGCGGATACTAACTCCCACGAGCAAGTTCCACATGCAGTCCCCCAACCGGAGGATCTAAATTCGATCCCTTACACGGCTGCCGGGGTGCTCCCGTCGGTCTCCGGTGGATCATCGCTGTCGGGAAACACACCCTTGTCGATGCCAACGGCTGATGATGTCCCTGTGGGGCAGATCCCTGTTGGTGAAGAATCTCCACAAGAGCACTTTGTAACTGGATCAAATGGCGAAAAGTGTGAGCATTCCCCTGCCTATAATGACCGGAACGTTTGCCAATTCTCCTGATTGCGCCGCAGTTTATATTGGAGAGAACACCTCGCTATCGTTTTTGGATTATCTTCGACATAGTCTAAGACCATGGGTGGGTGCAACGTCATTCACCGAAAGCGAGCGCGGAAACGGTTTACTTGAACCGGAAATTGATGAGGTCGCCGGAGAAGAAGTTCATCTAGATTTGGCAGAGAAGCGCGAGCTGTTCCAATCTTATTGCGAGGTGGTGCGTGTAGAATCATATCGCTGTCACCCTATCCCCGAAATAGACAACTAACCCTGTTATTCTAGTCAAGTGGCATTTTGCATCTTTTTGATGATGCGGAAGTCGAGTCGCTTCTCACGGCAGACACCGGAAATGATTCCCCGCCACACAATAGTGAGGACATTGCGGCCATGGACGCAGCTTTGGCTATTGGTGCACAAGCTAGGGCATCTGCACCCCGTGATTCATACAACGCTATGACACTGTTCACGAGAGCGCGATGTGTTGCTTTCCAAGACATGCTTGCTAATCCCAGTCTCGCCATTGTTCGATTATGTCTCCTGTTATCATTTTATACACTCGGTGCATCCCGCCAGAGCGCTGGGTCTATATACCTCGGGATTGCCTCCAAAGCAGCGGTCGTCCTCGGTCTCCACCAACCCATGAGCTGGAAGTCCCTCAAACTAAAAAGTGGTTATGGTGTAAGGTAATGTCTATTTAAATCCTTCATTTGAACCTTGAACTGTGATTTCTAATTTTTTTTTATGTAGGCTACGCATATGGCATAGTCTATGCATATTAGAGGTCCTGACAAGCTCACTTCTTGGTCGACCCTGCACTGTTCCGAGGGCGACCCGCCATAACGTTCAATCACTACCATTTGACGCTGAACAGCCAGCATTCAATGCGGTGCTGAAAGGGGTAGTATTGCTAGATGATATATGTTGTCAACTCAATAGAGGTGTGATGAACGATATTGTCACTGCTCAAAACCTCCTTCAAAGGCTTCGGACATGGAGCCGGGATCTACCACCATCGCTCCGGCGGTTCTCCTACACAAATGGGGTATCAATGGCTTATTCTGATCGCAAGAAAGCCTTTGGTAGTATTCATGTGTCTAGCCTCTATTATTTTGCTGTCATACTTGTCACTCGACCCTTCCTGATTGAGACTTTTATGACACGAATGCGCCAGCAGTCAGGTTTAACATCACAAGGGCCAGTTGATCCTCAGAGAGCATCCCTGGCGCAAGTCTGTATGATATCAGCCATGCATATGGGACATTTATGTCGACAAGTAGCCTCCGTTATGACGGCTTCAGACCTGCCATTTGGGAACCTAGGATTATTCAAGTGAGTCTTTGTATCTTCCGTGAATCATCAGCAATCGAGCATCCTGCTTACAAATGACGTATCTAGATCCTGGGCCTTTGGAAGTGGGCTAGTTCTAGGATTTTCAATATTCGCCGGAGAATCGCAGGACGACTTACGAGGCGCATTCTCTGGAGTTGTTAATCTTCTCGAAACAGCCGGCGTTATCAGCCCTCAATCCAGGGTCTATAGCAAGACACTCTACGAGCTAGAGGAAACCATCAATCTTTATCAGCGCTTGGCTTCTCGCAAAGCTCGTTCTGTAGCAGACCAGTATGTTGATGAAATTTTGGTTATTGACACAGGACAGGATATGTCAATGTCCTCAATCCAAGGCTCTGGGCCGCAATGTTTCTCACCACGAAAAGGCGCTGACTTTGACACTACCACGGAGATGGGAAATCATATGGTTCAAACAGAGATGGATGCCGATTTATTCATCCATGGGGGATGGGAAGATCTTGGGTACCAATTCTCCGACAACTTTGCGCTGGATTTTGGGGTGGCTCTTCTATAATATCTCCTAATGAACTGTAGAAATTTTGAAATGGAAAGGGTATTCTGTTCTAGGCTCATTCTCTAAATTTTGAAAATGCTAGCTCCCCTAAATGAATGTATAGATTTTAACACCTCCCGGCAAAGTCAATTAAAACAAAAGTTGAGTTCTATGATCGAGGGGGAAAACTAGTACGTCTCTCACCCCATTTCCAAGAATAACAACACATATAAACACATATACCTAAGGGTATTCTCCACTTAAGCGATCACTTTGATTGATTGCCCCTCCCTATCTTCTAGGGATGAGCTTGCAGTTGGGAAGTTAGAGGCTAGTGATTTCCGACTTCTTGGTAACCACCTGCTCTTTCTCATCCAAAACGGTCGGATTTTCCACAACTTTCTGACCAACAAGATCCTGCTCTCCTTCGAATATAAACGCAATCTCTTCGAGAGTGCGGTTCTTGGTTTCCGGGAATAGGAAGTAAATCACGAAAATGAGCACAAAGAGCAAGCAGCAGAAAAGGATGTAGTATCTCTGGCCGATATCGGCAAGCGCGATCGGGTGAACAAACTGGCCCAGGATCAACGACAAATTGGCCGTCATTAAAGCCGTGGAAAGGCCAAACGAGCGCAGCTTGTAGGGGAAGATCTCCACCGTATAAGCGTATAACATGGGTGTCCAGGCAATATTGAAGAAGAAGCAGGCGATGAAGATAAAGGCCAGCACCCCCTTTGCTGTGCCGGGGTCTTGAGTTCTGTGGAACTCCATCGAAAGAACAGTCCAGCATACGTAACTGCAGAATAGGCCGACGGCAGAAATTAAAAAGAGGGTACGGCGACCGAGCCAGTCGATCATGAGAGCTCCCACGCCGACAGCCCCCACAAAGTTTGCAATCTGGAGAATACCATTGACCAGGGTCTGCTCCTTGGTTTGTGTGATGCCGATCGTATCAAGGACCAGGGTGAGGTAGTAAGTTACCTAGATAATAACGTAACCATTAGTTGCGAGTTCTCACACAGTGCATATCTAATGTAGGAGTGGGAAATGAATCCAATCCAATCCACATTGTGGGGTGGTGATACTGACCAGTCCAGTGCCAGACCACTGTGAGTAGAATCCAAGAAAAACCGCGATAATTGTCCGGCGGCGGTTGGCCTTGGTGCGGAGCATTTCCTTCCATGGTGTTTTTTCGCCACCTCCCTTTCCATTCTCCAGGTGTTGCATAATTTCCTGCATCTCAAAATCCACTAGAGGAGATGCTTCATCCCCACCAGCATGGTATTTGACAAAGATTGCTCTAGCCTCTTCGATGCGACCTTTGGATACCAACCAACTAATGACTCAGTTAGAGAATGACCTCCTTGTGATTGAATAAAAGGGAAACCTATTTACCGAGGAGACTCAGGGAGGCACCAGAAGAACAGTAACTGCAATACCGGCATAGCACCCTGGATAGCGGAAGGAATTCGCCAAGACCAGGTCGAATTCAAGGTGAAAGAGCCATAGGTACCCCAGGCGGCAATGATCGCGCCAATGTAGAAGGACGAGTTGTATAGCGCAGTGAGCTTACCACGTTGTGTGGGGAAAGCAAGCTCCGTGATGAGAATGGGCGAGGGCTGTGCAACCATGATAGTGCACGAACCGATCAAGTAGCGTGAAACAATTAGCATCGCTACATTCTGTGATGCGGCTAGAAGAATGGCGAATGCCACCATGCCACAGAGTCCGACGAGCATTGGCAACCGGCGACCATACCGGTCTCCTAACCAAGAGACAGGGAATACCATCAGCACCTTTCCAATAGGATACACAGCATTCAGGGTACCCAGAATTGCCGAATTGGGGTGATTGAAGTAGTCCTTCCACTGCGTCAGGGACTGGAGGCCGTTCATCATAGAGGCTTTACTGCCAGTTAGCCATGAAAAGGAACCCATACGAGGGTGGAATTGTTGATGTTTCTTACCATCATATCCGACAGCACTGGAACTGACCAGGGGCACTAGCAAAATCAGATTCAACTGAATAAGATGCCAGCTTCTGTACCAGGGCTTGCGGTCTTTTGGCAACACCGCTTCGACGCCGTCAAACTCGGCATCGCTTTGGTTCTTCTTATTGAAAAGGCTAAGCCTCATTTTGTTCAATTAGATGGCCCACAAGGATTGTGAAAATGATGAATATTCGTTTGGTCGGGTGATGAAAAGCAGATAGTGAATTAAGGAGTGAAGGGATATTTGCTGTATTTTATAATCCCAAAGTCCGATATATCAAACCCTTCGCTGGCGAGAGATACTTTGTCAACAACCAGCATGGACACCCTTAGGCTTTCTGGTTCAATCTTGATAGATCTGAGTTTGTGGCGATAAGAGGGGGTTGTCCAATGATGTTGTCCTTTAAACCCGACGAGGTGTCAGCATTGTTCCCGAGGTCATCTCGTAAATTAGAATCTGGAGGCGGGGGTTTAGAGCGCTAGATGTGAGTTGACCATCGCAAGCCAAGCTTCGAAAGGTTAATTCGCGTGCAGACGGATTAAGAATCATGCATGTATCTGGCGAATGGGACGTTATCTACGGAGGAACTGGTTAGCATATCAACGCCCCACAGTCAGTCCTTTGATTGCGGGGATTCTCTACTTCTCGTATCTTCTCCGGGTGCCTTTCAGTCTGGATTCTTTGTTCCATTCGGTTAATTCCCCCCAGGGCCGTACCCCCTTCGGCAACGCCCCAAACCATTTGAAATCTTTATCGCCTAAACTCTTGTGGCTAAGAATACTCGTGGAAATTTTCAAGTGACTCTAAAGCGATAGTAAAAGGGGGAAACTCATCAACTATCCTCCAGAATTGCTTGAGAAATAGCAAACATGGAGACATCTATTCTTTCAGATTTCGACGTGAACACGGTTCTCAGGGAGGCAACGGTTGCCGAGAAAGTGGGTCTGATCTCAGGTAACTGTCCAGAAATACTATCAGCGATTTCTTGTTGAAACTGACAAATTTGATGATTAAGGGAAGGACGCATGGCATACCTATGATATTCCTCGACTGGGTGTGCCATCGATTCGCTTCACTGATGGCCCAAATGGTGCCCGAGGCACGAGGTTCACTGCAGGTGTTCGTGCCGCTTGTTTGCCGTGCGGCACTGCTCTTGGAGCAACGTGGAATCAAAAGCTCATTCAGGAAGGCGGCGTACTCATTGGAATGGAGGTCAAGGCCAAGGGTGCGCGAGTCTGGCTGGGTCCTACCGTCAACATCCAGCGGTCGCCTCTTGGCGGTCGAAACTTCGAGTCGTTCGCCGAGGATCCGTTCTTATCAGGCAAGATAGCTGGTAGCTACATTTCTGGGGCTCAATCGACCGGGATCGTGTCGACCCTAAAGCATTTTGTCGCGAATGATCAGGAACATGAGAGAATGGCGGTTGACGTCCGTGTCACCGAACGAGCTCTAAGGGAAATTTACCTTTTGCCGTTTCAAATCGCTCTAAAAGAAGGTCGGCCGGGAGGCATCATGGCTTCTTACAACAAAGTGAATGGGCTGCATGTCTCCGAAAGTCCCACGCTGCTGGAAGATCTGTTGCGGCGGGAATGGGGGTTTAAGGGAATGATTATGAGTGACTGGTATGTCAAACTTTCCCATCACTGCTACTACGTTGGAAATCACTAATCAGAGATGCACACAATAGGTATGGCACGTATTCAACAGTCGAGGCCATGAATGCCGGCCTGGACCTGGAAATGCCGGGACCACCCAGGCTGCGGGGCATTCTAGCTGATTTAGCTGTCTCATCTCGCAAAGTCTCACATGCGACACTGGATGCTCGAGCCCGCAATGTACTGAATCTTGTTCAGAAGTGTGCGAAAATTGAAGGTGTCGCATCCGTTGAATCCATTCGAGACTTTGCTGATGATCGATCTACCAACCGCAAGCTCGCCGGGGAAAGCATCGTGCTCTTGAAGAATGACAGCAAAATTCTGCCTATTCCGTCTCACGAGGTTGAAGAAATAGCCCTCATCGGACCCAATTTAAAGAATGGAGCATACTGTGGTGGAGGAAGTGCTCAGCTTGATGCCTATTATGTTGTTACAAACTATCAAGGCATTGTTGAGCGACTCACCAACAATGGATCCCGCAAGGACGTGAAAATAAATTACGAGATTGGAGTCCATTCTTGGGGATTCCTCCCGTTACTCGGCTCCCAAGTCACATCGCCCGAAGGTCGGGTGGGAGAACTTACCATGCGTTTCTTTTCGGAACCGCCGTCCAGGCCGAACCGTAAGGTCATTGATATCATCAATATCACCGACTCGACCTGGCAACTTATGGGATATTCCCATCGAAAGTTGGGACCGCAATTCTGGGCTGATGTTGAGGGGACATTCTGCGCTGACGAGACTGGCGACTATGAATGGGGCATCGCATGTTGCGGCACGGCCAGTCTTTTCATTGACGAAACAATGATCATTGACAACACCACCATTCAGCAGCCGGGGAATTCCTTCTTCGGAAGGGGAACCACGGAGAAGAAGGCTGTGATGCATATGAAAGGCGGTCAAAATTACCATATCAAGGTTCAATTCGGAAGTCTTCCTACTTCCAAGATTTACAAAGAAGGTGTAGTGGCCTACGGTGGCGGAGCTGGCCGTATTGGCGTTTGGCCAGTCTCAGACCCAGAGAAGGCTATTGCTCGGGCAGCGTCTCTTGCCAAAAAGTGCAAATACACCATACTGTGTGTAGGACTTGATGTAAGGTCCCCGCGACATCAATCCAATAATATTTCAATCACGGTTGGCTGACATAACATTACAGAAAGAATTAGAGAGCGAGGGCTATGACAGACCGACTATGAATCTGCCTGAGCCAACCGATCGATTGATTTCCGCGGTGCTGGATGCTAATCCTGATGCAATTATTGTCACGCAATCAGGTGCACCAATTAACATGCAGCCTTGGGTCTCACGGGCAACAACTCTTGCTCACATGTGGGTGAGTAAACCTGGACTTTCCTCAATTTTCGCCTAAAACGAGATTTACCGACTAACCATTGTCACAGTACGGTGGCAATGAGATGGGAAGAGGACTAGCTGATGTTCTATTTGGCGATATCAACCCCAGTGGCAAGCTTCCTCTTACTTTCCCCAATGCTATTGAAGATACGCCAGCTTTTCTGAATTTTGAAAGCGAGCGCGGTCACACTGTGTATGGTGAGGGGGTATACATTGGCTATCGCTATTATGAAAAGTTAAACAGAAGTGTCGCATTTCCGTTTGGGTGAGTTCTCCCATATGAAACATTATGTCCTCCCTCTACATCTCCGGCGATTTTGCCAACTGCTAACCAAACCTCCTGTTCGAATTAATAGTCATGGGTTATCTTACACACAATTTGAATTTTCCGAACTCTCTGTGTCGCCGAAGGAAGTGAGTGTGTGCGTTCTCAATACCGGGTCAATTGTAGGAGCCACAGTCGTACAAGTCTACATATCTCCCTCACCAACAAATTCTATTTCACGACCGATCAAGGAGCTCAAGGGCTTTGCCAAGGTCTTCCTTGACTCTTGCGAGTGCCAGGATGTTGTTATTAAGCTTGACCGTCTGTCAACTTCATTCTGGGATGAGACTTTAGGTTGCTGGGTGAGTGAGAAGGGCATTTATGGTGTTCATGTGGGCCACAGTAGCGCGGATATTGTTCTATCTGGATCATTGGAGGTTGAGGAAACAACTACTTGGACCGGTCTTGACATGTAAAATATGCCAGGGTTTGAAGTTAAGCCTGGCGAAGAGTCAGTTTGGAGCTGTGTCGAGCATGAAAGACCAGCGACATCACTCGAGATGGAGATTTAGATATCGATTTTTATTCAATTTTCTATCCATATTGCCTTCAATATTTACGTTGTTATTCATAGTCAAAATTCGGGCGTTTTTCGTCCATGCCTTCTCTCAAGAATTTAAAGATTGTCAATCATACACCTAAACATATACCAGCGGCAAGTATGAGTGGCAAATGATTCGTTTCGAGCCTTTAAATGAGCAGTGTGTATATACCACGTTCTATGCCCTCACACAATACATCATAATGGGATTCTCCTTAGTAGTACAGCCAAACTTAGCCCATATGTTTCCTCTCTCGTTACAATAAAGAGGGCTAGCTTGAGCTTCATTCATTAGCAATATACGTCATGCCTAATACAATAGGAATCTTTCAAATCAAACCCAAGAAAACAAATTCTATACTGGCGATAACCATCGTGCCTTTGCAAATGTAAGGTTTGCTAGCTATCGGCAATATTTCCAGCTTCTGCGCCACCGAGAAATGTGTATCACCTCCACAATTTGAGTGGGGAATAACATGATAAGATACCTCCAAATATTCCATACCCGCTGTTCAATTGCCGGTACCTAGACTCCCGGGCCGTGTAGAGCTATGTCCAACATTTTGACATTCGAATTTAACGGCTAGTACTCCTTGAAGTCCCCGGGCCGAACCCCCGGTGCTACACTCGCAGCCGGCGTCTACTGAGAGATTCCGTCCACTGGCAGCTTACGATAGGTAACTATCACAGATGCGCACTACGTTTCCATTTATATGACTAGCTGGTGTCAAATATCAACCTCACACCGCTACATTACCCTACGGCATAGCTCCTACCTCATACATCCAACTCTTGCTTTGAACTCCATCAAAATGCCTCAGGAGCTTTACGTGCCCGCTATTTCACTTAAGGGTATGTCCTCTCCATCAGACTCATTGAAAATCACGTAATAATCTCGGCCAGACTTCGAGTCCCGAAAGGAGGAGATCACCAAGCAGCTAGTGGAAGGAGCCGAAACTGCTGGCTTCTTTACTCTTGTTGACCACGGTATCACTATTGAGGAGATTGAAAATCAGTTCGCCCTCTCGAAAGCCTTCTTTGCTCTGCCTCGAGAGATCAAAGGGAAGATTCCCCATGGTTTGCACACCAACAACGGCTGGGAGTACAAGGTAAATTAAGAAGCCTTGGCCAACAATGTGAAAAATAATCTGATTCCAAATTCTAGTCACAAATTCGTCCTAGTACCGGTGTTCCAGACCAGAAAGAATCTTTCTGGTTACAGCGAAACTCCCAATGGCCGGCTGATGAAGATGTGCCCGGCTTCAGTGAAGGCACCAAGAATTTTATTGCAAAATGCGAGGGAATCTCTAAACAAGTCTGTAAGTGCTCACAATGTTCTCTCGTTTACTAATACTCACTTACTAAAACACTATGACCAGTAAGCTGTCTTTCCATTGCCTTGGGGTTCCCGGAGAATCACTTCAACGATGCGATGGATGTTGAAGCCAGCGATAACCTTACGCAAATGCGCATGATCCACTATATGGCTTCCGAAAATGCAGCGGGAACATGGAGAGCTGGTAATCACACTGATGTTGGATGTCTCACCCTGCTGTTCCAGCGCGATGGTGAGGATGGACTGGAAGTCTGTCCTGGTCGCAAGAATCACAACGACAAAATCATTGGTGATGATTTCTCTCCCATACCCGCTAAGACTGGTCCCATTGTAGTCAATATCGGAGACATGTTGAGTAAGTGACAGTCTTGTGCGGAGTTCCGCTTTCTTCACGATGTGTGTCTAGAAATTGTCCACTAACTGCCTTTTCTTCAACGTATTTAGTGGCGTGGTCTGATGACCGTCTCAAGGCCAACTTTCACCGCGTCCGGGCTCAAGACGTTGGCCCAAGCCCAGATCGTTATTCCATTGCCTACTTTAACACTGGTCGGCGGAACGTTGTTATGCAGGGGCCTCTGAAGAAGTAGTAAGTCAATTGCCAAAGGATTTCGGAGATTTGTATGCTGGGTTACTTATTATCCTCTTCAGCCCTGCCATCACTTGCGGTGAATATTTCCGCGAAAAGACTGTTGTCCAATTTGGGTAAGAAACACCACCAAACAATTTCCATGCACATCGTGACTAAAGACAAATATAGACACAACTTCCCAAAGACCCAGTCACCATTGGTTACTGACGCTCCCATGGCTACCATGGCCGCTGTGGCTACTCCAGCTGCATAGAGCTTTTATGGATTATGGGATCAACCCATATTTTTAGTATCGGGAGTTCTACATCCGAAGTATATAGCCAACTTAGTTTTCACCTAGCAAACCATCGTGGTCCATTGAAAATTTATGTATTTTTCGTCAAATATACCCGTATATTGGGTCAGTTGAATTCTCAAGATGAAACTATATAAAAGCCAAAGGATATAGTATACCATGCAAGGCAGAATGACATAGGCACTTGTAACTCGTGTTTGAAAACGAGAATTTTCATTTAATTGGGTCATAAAGCTGATCTTCGAAGGTGAAGTGTAATAAAGCCATCTATTGGCTCTTTTCCAGCGCCTCACGTCTTCCAGTACTCTTGGGATCCAGATATGGCCTCTCTCCGAGGCCAACAGCACGGTGTCCAGTGCGCGGGCCAAGTCCGTCATAATCCCAAGTTGCTGCGTGGTACACCGATCGGTTATCCCAGATAGCTATAATAACAGTCAGATAGGGTAGTCAGATATTTTTACAGGGGACCATACCAAGATCGTTCGGGTTCTCCCAGCGTTTGCGCACCTGCAGGTCATGGTTCTCAACGATAAGATTCACGAACCAGTCGAGAAGATGACGGCTCTCCTCCTCAGAGACACCGTTGACCTTCTGAACGTGCGTGCCGACAGCAAAGACACTCTTCCAGCCGGTGACAGGGTTGGTACGGATGACAGGGTGCTCAGCGATAAGCTCTTCTCCGACGTTCTCAGGCGCGCCACGAGGGCCAAGGTGGATGGTGAAATCGTTGCGTTTGGCAACTTCGTTGAAGCCGGGTTGCGCATAGGTTGCGGTCAGGCCCTCCAGGAACTTCTGATAAGGCTCGGAGATACGGTCGTAAACCTCGTAGCCTGAGGCCCACAGAGTGTCTAGAAGATGATTAGTTCTCTGTACAATTCCATATAGTATGCAAAAGGGGTCTTACCACCACCAGTTTTGGGAAGCTCCGTGAGACGCAAGAGAGTATAATCGCTAGGAATGGGCTCAAAGGTGATGTCACTGTGCCACTCCCTGCGTGAGGTCTGCTTTCTCGTGTTCCTGTCCTTGTACAGCTTTTCCCGGCTTGCGGAGCTGATTACACTAATCTCATCATCCTTGACGCTGTGTTCCCGACCTGAGTTTGCTACTGGGTGGATGTGCAGTCCGGATGTGCTTGGCTTGCCCGAGAGTTCACCCAGTCGTTGGACAAGCTCCTTTTGCAGTTCGTTGTCTAGACCATCCTGCTTACGGAAGAAAACAACACCTCGTTGCGAGACTAAAATATCATGTCAACTCTATCCTCCACATATAATAATGGGTATAACTCACTGGTCAAAGCAAGTTCTCGGATCAGATCATCAGAATTGGGGGCGCGCAGGAAATCCTTCAAGTTGGCGTTGGGGAATTCACGTCCAATGACTGGAGTGACATCGAAGGACTCGAAAGAATCAAGAGATCCATTGGACTTGATAGGCTCACGAGCGAGACCTGTCAGCGTAATCTTGTCCTCGACGATGGGAACCACCGTAGGTGCGGTTTCGGTGACGGCGGATGCCATAGTGAGGTGGTTGTGGACTGTAGTAATTGTTGGACGGAGTTTTTTGTTAGTGCTGGCAGGTAAAATACAGGACCATGTTGTCCATCTTATACTTTGCGACATACTAAATGATGCCGGTTATCCGCTTGCGACATCTACTTCTTGTTGTGCCCAGGCCTCATTATCGCAACCCCGCAGATCTGGAACATTGCTGTCGCACAGTTAGAGTGAAATCACGTCTTGTATGTTGATGATCCCAATAGATAGCAGTCAACTTGTGGTGTCAAAGTTCAGATTCGTCATTTTCCCCAGGAATTGTCTGACATCCCGCCTCTGGAAATCTCACCGTGATGGGATCATATCTATGGGAGGTTGCGCAACACAGTTGATTACCAATGACACTATACCTACATTAGTTAAAGCCAGAGGTTTTGTTCAATCAGATCAATCCAAAAATAACTGCACTGCTCGCTTATTTTAATTGTCGTCGGCTAGCTGTATATGTTATTACATGCATGGGTTATGCTCAAGCACGCCATGGATGGCCCGACCAATCGCATGAATAGGGAAAGAGTATCATTTTAGACGTAAAACTATCTAGCGATTTATTGCAGTACCTATTCGGTGTAAGCGAGATTCAAAGTTTGTTCATTCCTGTGATATCAAAACTGTACGAACTAACTTCCATACACTAACGGGCCAAGTCAGCTCCCCCATTCCTTCACGTGTAAATCTAGAAATGGTCCAATTTCCAGAGAGATAATCAATGGGCAAATCGGAAATCCAATCGCTTATTTCCTTCGTCCTTGGTGGTTGCCAAGTAATTCGCTTTCTCGTCGTCCGTCATAGCATTCCATTTCTTGTCGCGGCTTTGATTGCGCCAGACGTAGTATACCTTGGTCAGCAAATATATGAAGATATTCGAGACACCGAGTCCCACCAAAACACCATTGCCTCTCCGATAGCGGGGAGCATCATCTGAGTCAAATTAGCATATCAGACAAAGACGGAAAATCAAAGGAGGTTTATGACCAACCAGCGCGATAAATATTAGAAGCAATAATTCCCGATGATTGGACACACATGTTATACATGGCAGCTGAGACCGTACGGGATCGGACAGTGTTCGAGTTGCGGGAGTTCCAATTCACTTGAATGGCATGCGCTGTGATTTTGTGAGCCAAGATACCAAATGTGCAACAGGTGCGAATAGGTGAGCGTACCATTTGGATATGCTAGCAGCACAGTCATAACCGCCCATACACCCCACTTGTTTGCAGTACTGATGTCGGCCACATATAAATAGACCAAGAAGGGAAGTATCCATATCTGCCCAATCACAGAGATCAAAGTTAATTGACTTGTAATTTCCGAGACATATGTGAGGAGTAGAAGGAAGATAATGGACAGCACTTCGCTAGGAATAACCAAGAGATTCGTCACAAAGGTGTTAAATCCGAGGCCCCTCAGAGTAAGAGTTAAATATTGCTTGGGAGGTACCACTGGCGTTTGGAAGGTAAGTCCGATGATGTATATCGGCCAGAGATCATAGTCCTTCAAACTCTTCCAAAGTAGTTTGGGCGTAATAGGCTCTCGATTGTGCATGGTTCCTTTACTTGGGTCATCGCGAATTACTCGATTGACAATGATGGTTTCCTCCCTGTGAATTCTATCAGAAACTATACAAAATTTTACAAAAGAAAGGTGAGATGACTTACCGCGGAGTAAACCAGCCTGATTTACCCCGAGACCAATTTGCAGTCTGGCATGGTCCTGGGGGCATCAAAACATATGCAGATAGACCAAATAGAAGTGTCAGAAGGCCCTACACTTTATGTGAGTCAAACGTCCTTTCAAATTATATCAGATGTCTACTCACTTCCAACAAGAACAGCCAGCGCCATCCCGATTGACCCTGCACACCACGAAGATGCAAAAATCCGAAAGCAAGAAATCCAGCAAGAATATCCGCAATGTTCATAGCTGTCCAAAAGAAGCCGAGTCGTAAAGACAGCTCATGATGTTTGTAGAAGTAGGACAGATATAATATCACCTGCGACTCCGTTAGCGGTGACCCATAAGAAGAACGTGTGCAACTTACATCTGGGATAAATCCGCCTTGCAAAATACCAAGCAGGGCACGGCACAAAAGAAATGTTGTTCTCCCATTCAGTCCATACTGTGCCATAGCAACTGCAGACCAAAGAACCATTTGGGTCGGAATCCACCGATCAGGTCCAACCCATTTACTGACGAGTTGGGAAGGAAGCTCGGCGCAGAGGAATGCGAGCTTAAACACCGTATTTCCAAGATTGTAGTCTGGAGAGATAATGCACTCTGGTTAGCCCTAGGATATCATAAGATGAAAAAGAGAGCTCTGGTTCTTCATTTACCATTCGTGTTCATATTCAATTCTGGAAGCATGTTGTCAGTCAGAGCTTGGGATAGATTGGACCGATCTAACTCCAAGCACATGAACATAAGGCAAGTAAATATCATGATGCGAAGATCAATCTTTCGGATCAACTGGTATTCCTCGTTCCATGTCCACCGAGCAGATGGGTCGAATCGGTGAAGATTCTCCCAGTCCGCGCGGGGTTGATATTCCTTCGCGGTGTCAGGGTTGTCATAAACGGACGGCTGGGTTGCAACTGCTTCGGGATTATAGCCTTTGCCTCGCTGAAACCAGAACCGACGTTCTTCTCCGGGTTGGCCCAATGGTGCGATGTCAAGACTTGTAGAGGAGTCTGTATCTGGCCCTTTGAGTACTGAGATGGATTCATTCGGGCCTTTCCTTGCAGTGTACACGGTAGACATCTTGATGAGCCAAAGATGTTACAACCAAACGTTAAGATCTATTGGTTTTTTTTTTTTTTTCTACGTATGAAAAGTTTGAAAAATCCGGCCTCTTTTTATAGACCATGCAGCGACAATCTCATCGGGATATTTTCCCTGGAACATGTTTTCACTGATAAGAAAGCACTTGGCACTAGCTTGCATCATGAAGCCAAGTATGTAACAATTGTTCTGTTGGTAGTGTTGTGAGAGGTTCAGGGTCAGGGCCAAGAAGGATCAAGGTTTCTTAGGAATGACATCTTGGTGGCTGAATATCACATCATTCAGTCGAAAAACCACATATTATCCAAACCAAAGGATTTTGAAGAAATCAACTACCGGGGACCCCGGAACAAATATATTTACCGAGAAAAGCGCAAATTGTCAAATCCCTTTCAGTGAGGTTGGTGGGTTTGGCCTTTTTGACGCTGTCACGTAACCTCCGCCTCGATGCTCTCGACATAAAAGTCCCGACCTCGCCTTTTGATCCCCCTCTTTTACTTTCACCCCTCCCACCAGTCCCTCTATCTGCACTCGTTGCTGTTACTTTCCATTTCTCGGGGATTTCGCTCGATCCAGCCCCGTGGCCATATCCAACATCCTTTGACATATATTTTCCTATATTTCTCTGCCGAGTGATGGGGCTCCATTTATCAATTTTATTGAGATGATCTCATCATGCGCCTAGATCCTCTCCAAAAGTGTAGGCCATTCAAGTGGCCGGTCTTCTTTTCCCTTCCTGATAAGCCTTCCTCTCATCACACCCGGAGCCTAGAACCAGTTTCTGCAAATTATCGCTCTCGGAAATCCCAATCTGAAGTGATACAACTTCATTTTTGCCATTTTAAACCAGATTCGTGCAATGTAGTCAGGCCAGTCGGGCCAGTCAGCCCAACCTGCCATTTACGAGAATGTCAAAGAAACCATACAGAAATCCCATGTCTTGCTGGTGGTCTCTCGCGCAGCCAGTTTGCCGCAGCAATCGGTCGAGTCGCCGACCATCAGACAGTCCTCCAGATTTTGATGCAAATGATTTAGTAAGTATTTCCTATTTCCTTCCTCTTTCATTTTCCCCTAGTCTTCCTCCTTCCTCGCCTCCCCATTTTACGTCTTGCCATCGGACGTACAGTTTATGGCCCTGCCTTGAGATTGGAAATTCTCAACGTATTGTTCTTCCCGAGTATCATGGATACATCAAGGACCTAGTGGTAAGGCACGGATGTAAACAAACAAAGCTTGAATCTTAGCCACCAAATCGCCTAATCTACTACCAACCTACCCACCCATATCGATCTATTAATTTCAAATGCCTTCATCTCAACCAAAACGGTTTTAAATAAACTCAAGTGGCAGATTTGTCTATCTGGGCATGCCTCTCTTCTATGCCCTAGCATCCTGTATATAAAAATATACGCGCAGCGAATGAACAAAAACTGCTGAACCGCACACGGTTAAATAGGCTGATACTCCATCAAGGAGGGCCTATAACTAAGTTAGTAAATAAACCAGCGAATTCAATATAACCAGGTAACATCATGTCCAGGTCAACCGTGAATAACGTGAATGGCCCGCATGACGGCCATAGGCTGCAGCTAGCCATAAAAACACGAACACAACCCGGCCTCGGCCTCGGTCTCGGTCTCGGTGTCTGTGGATGGGGATTTTCGGTCTTGGGTCTTATCCCCGACACTAATAAATACCCCCGCGTGGCCACCGGTTTTCTGACAATCCAGCCAAAAGCATTATCCATATCAACACTATCTATCCATCGTTTACATTAATTATAGACAATATGCGCTCCTTTGCACTGCGTGGCTATCGCTCCTCCCAGCATACTTTCTTCCGGGGCTACGCCCCTCGGCACACCCCCGGTTTTCGCGGTAAAATGGGCGGCCTGCTCAAAATCGCTCTCCTAGGCACTTGTACCTACTTCGTCGCGAAGAAGATCTCCCAGTAAGCTAGGTTCCCGATCTCAGTCATATCGTTGCTATTGATATGTGAACTGCGGAGGAATGATTGAGCTAACAGATTCTCTAGCGCAAACCAATCTCCTCCTCATGCTAGCTCCAATTATGGCTCCCAGTCGGTTCAGCCGGTTCCACAGTGAAATGCACATCGCCAGCCGGGTATTCGGTATTAGTACCCTGTGTACTCGATCCTGGTCCCTTCAGTGGAGTTCCAACATCCCAGGGGGGCTAAGACGTTTAAATAGTAGAAGATGCTTTATTGGGCGGTGATATTAGGGGACGACAATGTATATTACAAGAACCACAGATAATCAACGGCAGTGGGATCTAGAATCCTTCATTTGAGATATCCCGGCATTACGTTAGGGCCACAGACCAGGCCCTCGTTATAAATCGTTGAACTCTCACATAGAACGGCCTTTCTTTCAGCGAAAGATATCAAATATCGTACCAACATCATCTTTCTTTTCTTCTCTGAAGCCTGATCACCTGGCCCATACTAGATAATTGTTAGTGTCAGATCCTTCTGACTGCCTCTATAGTATGGCAGACTAAAAACAATATATTTTGTGCCATGTACGACTAGGGTCATGACAAGGCAGCATAGGCAGCTGGCTATTCTTGTTTACAGTAATTTGAATTAAGGGTCAAAGGATCATCTGATATTGCTTACCCGAAGCGGGAAACCCTCCAGGGCTCGGGTATACCCGGCCGTGTCACATGGAACCCCTCAGCCCCGTAAGATGGATTAAAATGACATCAAATTTTGAAGGGGAGCTTGGAAACACCGAATAAAAGATAAAAATAAAAACTAAGCGAAGCGAAAAATTGAAATATGCAAGGACTGAATCCACTCGGGCGCCCAAACGGGTAACTAGTGTGTACTACTCTATCTACGGATGTTCAAGGTGCTTACTCCGTGCTCCTTATTGCATACTCCGTACTCCGTACTCCATACCAAAATGGTCAATCTGATTCCATTTGCCGGTAATATACGGACGGATGAATCTCGTCTAGAGCAGCTAGGCCATTCACACAAGCTTTGAGAACCCTCGCAACCTGGTAACCAGGGGATTGATCTTAGAACTCCAGACACAAACCCGATACTACAACATAGCTAGAAGGTGGGATCTGAACATATATAAATGACAACGGTCTACGGGGTACGGTATTTAAAATATTAAAGCGACGGGATATTATTCCCAGCCCCACTTGATGCCCCGGTCACGGCTGTTGGATGGGGATCTCTGACCCCCGCTCGTATCCCGAATTAGCATGGGCGAAGCACTGTGGCTATGAGATATTAAAACGACCCTCCCCTCTCAAGGGCTAGAGCATGTACTCCATATGTACGTACCGAAACCATGTTGAAGCCTGAATTTAGACTTTCATTTGCCGGAATGTTTACGTTGACATCATTGGTTTAATGTCGTCGGGGTCTAGTCGGATTTCAGGAGTTCTCAACGGGCCTCAAAAATGGGGCACAGGGATCTCATCCTTTAATCTCGGATGATATACGGATGAGCCAGGACTGGAGTAGGGGTTTGATGAATATGTAATCGGTTCATATGGTTACCGAGGTAATAAAATCACTGGCTGCGGAGTGCTCTATACAAATGGATATTTCTGCCAAATGTATTGAAATCTATTTCAACAGAATAAACGGCGTAATCCAAGTATGTTGTACATTCGATATGCACTGACCACTGCTTGAAGCATTTGTTCAGATGGGGCAGTGGAGAGAAACTTAACTATGTTGACAAGGCACGCCCGAACAAAAAATTCCAAATAATTTTGCTAGCTGTCAAACATTACATAAGAAATGGAGTGGTGTTGGTAATCACCCTGGTTATGCCCTATAAATTATATTACTGTTGCAATTAGGGAATGGATAGGCATCTGTATGGTATTGGCCCCCACGTGGTAAACCCCCAGCTTCCCAATGTAGGTAACACTCCGTGCAATTTCCGTGGGTCTCGTCCTATCTGGAAAGATAGAACATTACGGTTCTTCACCCAGTTCGGGCTGAAGAGAAGGTGACAAAAGCAAATACGCCCTGAAGAATGTGTGTAGGCAAAGGGGGAGTAAAAAGTACGAGTTGTAGAAGCTCCTGGTTGTGTGCCCAAGCTCGGACTGGAGACTGCCCAGGTGGATCCATGAGAGACAATGGAAATCACCCATTGGTCAGGGCGTATATGCGGGTGTGGACCGTGATTTGATGCCAACCTTGGCAGTGGATCTAGTGGGTCCCGTCCGAGAGTGTGTTGAGCCTCTTTGGCGAGTGAACGGTGGTCGATCAACCATTTCGGGTGAGGATCGACCTTCGGAATGTGGGCACCCGCACCCTTTTTGTTTATTTCTTTGCTTTTCTTTTACTTTTTTTTATTTTTAACACCCGGGTGTACACCAACCAATCATGGATTTTTCTTGGTGTTGGTTACTCTGAATTTTAGCTCAGCCTACACAGGTTGCTGCAACTATATCATGCCACTTGCCCTACACCGCAATGATCCACGTGTAATCTGCCAAAAATAATACTCACATAGCCCGACATCTTTAACCTGACGGTGATGGACATCCCTATACCCGATAAGGCAACCGAAGCGCAAACGCCTGGTGATGGGGTTGATTTTTGATCGGCATCAAATCTATCATCAGGGCTACCAATCGCCCCACTGTCTAAACCAAACCCTCCTCTCGATCCCTGTAGTTTGGAGTGTAATTTGGTCGTTTAAATTTCCCAATGGGTGAAACTCCATTCCCGGATAAGTAGAGATAACCAGTGTTCAAATACTGCAACGAAGCACTTTGAGGTGGCTGCATTGACCCATAAACGCCCTAGTGGGGCATATCGCACTCCAATAGGATCAAACTTTGTAAGATGTGCAGTTGAACTACGGAGTACGTGGGTGACCGATCCAGGAGGCTGAGGCTCTGATCGACTGGGAGATGATCCCCCGTCATTGTCGTAAAATCACCGAACGTGACCCTATTCGTTTTTGGCCCGAAAGATCCCTGCTCTGTGAAAATAATGATCACTAGGCGTTCTTTGGGTCGTTTCAGGCGTTTTTTAGACTGACTATTTAGTATTAGCTTCGTTCTTGATTATGTTATTAATTAATTAGGCACCAGATCGGCGTCCTGTAGGTTGAGGGTTTAGAGATACGACCGAGACCGTCCGACATACCCACTCCCCCATAGAGCTGTTGACGCTAATAATTAAAAAAGTCCTTATTAAACCGCTTTCCCTTATTTATTTTCCATCCATCTCTTTGTGCTATCTGCCCACTCGAACTCGCACCACTTTTACAACTTCTAAACGTGCCGTGTAACTTCGTCCCGAATGGCATATTGAGCCGCAATACCCCTACAGTATATTTCCGTCGCATACCTACAATATGTCCGCTTTCAACACCCCATTTGCCGACTCCGTTCCGTCGTCATTTGACCTCGAATGTGCTACTCCCATGCCCTCAACACTGACTAACCACAACAACGCAAGTCAAGCGGAGTCGTATCTCAATCCTCCCGTGAATATTTCTTCGTCTTCGCAAACAAGCTCCCACCGAGTCAGCAAAGCCATGAAGGGCAAGCGAGTCCATGCATGCCAACGCCCCGGATGTTCGAAAGTTAGTACCTTTGGGATATTACCAACGGATCATTTCGCTTACCGCCGTCATGCAGGTCTTTACCAGAGCCGAACACCGCAGACGACATGAGCTCAGCCACGAGCCTAGAAAGCGATATCCTTGCACATACGAAGGGTGCAAGAAGGCATTCCACCGCCCAGATTACCTAACTCAGCACCTGGGTCGGCAGTGAGTAGCCCCATCACGATTAGAAGATATTGAATTCAAAGCCTAACCTAAATAATAGTGCGGCTTCAGCACCAAAGGAGAACACATCATACACTCGAATCGACACATCAAATCGTCGGTCAAGCCTGCAACAACAGATGCAGTCACAACCAGCCAATTCACCTCCCATTCCATTCCAAGCGGATCCCACCGACAATTATTCTGGCGTGTGGGGAAGCATGGATTCCTCAATGTCATGTCCCCAGTCTACCAGGGGCCAGAGCCAGTCTTCTGCATCCGTTGATGACCACCCGTCCCCATATTCCTATACGAATGATATCTGCAGCTCGCCCGTTACGAGCGACTCCTTTGCGAACCCCCAATATCCCACTACGGGCATGCCGGTAGAGATGGTGACTGCAATAGACCAATATCTGCGGAGCATCTTAAAGCCTGAAGCGTTTGCGTTGCCCAACCAGCAGATGAATCCCGCCATTTGGAATCCCGATATTAAGATCGATCCTACGTTGACCAAGATCGAGAGCCCAGTGAGTGGAATCCAGGAAATCGTTCTCAACAGAAAGACAAATTCTAATACTTGTTTCAGGACCAACTACCGCTCTATTCATGGCCACCCACCCACCACTTGCAATATGAAGATCATCCAGTGCAGATGAATCACCCGTCCGACAACTGCTGAGCATTTTTCATACCAACGGTTGATACACCTACTTTTGATTTCTGATTTGCTTTAGCGTTTTTGTCCCTCTCTTACATCTTCTCGCCCGCTCTTTTGCAAACCCCCTACTCTTTAAAGGATCATGATCTGTTGATACCTGGGCTACGTTTTTTGGGCGGCATTATACCATTCCTTTATTTATGATACCATGACAATCTGCTGTTTTGATACAAATTTGTTTTAATTCAACTTGAGCTACCTTACTTCAAGAATATGCTCAAAGAGACGCATTACCCGTGCGTTGTTCAGGCATTGTGTTCTCGGGGTCTCGGTCTATTTGTGGAGGTTGTTTGGTTATTAATTACTTACGATACCCACGAGAATATACAACACTTCCTACATACAGCCCTTGCAACATGTATTGTCATAGTGTGTACATGTAGTAGGCAAGCTCATAGTATAGTTGGAAAGTTAGAAAGACTGCATGATATATTTTAATATAGTCAAAAGTTATATATAGAAGGGTCTCTTGCATAAAGTATCCTTTTTTTACCGCCTTCGTATACACATAAGAAGATATTTTAAAGGTCATCTAAAAATTCCACCAAAAGGACATGCACACGCCAGCTGTGATACCCCTTACATGTGGCTCGTTGTGTTGGTTGTGGTGCCTCAAAAAGGCAGCCGGGCGAAGCGCCTGCTTGTGCCACCCAACAGCGCCTACCAACAGTGTCTACCAATGAGTTTAGTACACCGCTTTGTTGAAGATTGCCACACTTTATGTGCTTTTGCTTCGTTTTCCAAAAAGGATGCTGAGTGGTTTAGATCTCGTTTGCGCTACTACGTACTGCGTACCCTGTACATGTCTTACTCTGAGAAAGCCACCAAAGCTATGGCACCGCTACTTTTCTTGTTTTCAGGTAAGTTTGACTGCCGAAGGATGGTATTTATAAATCATAATCTATCTAGATTCTAAAATTTCTGAAAATGCGTGCTTTAACCCGATTATGCGCCAAAGGCAATACCCCACAAATAGTCCCCAGCTTAATTGCAAAGTATGCTTGTTAGCTGTAATTTTAGTATTATTTCCAATACCTTGTGTCGATAGCAGGTTGTACCTCACCCGCACAGGCATCAAATCGGAGCTCGGTCCAGATGCGGAAGCCTATTTAAGGTTCTTGCTCTAATTCCACGGTTTCGATCCACGTGTAAGCCTTCAAATGATGGATGCCGATTCGACACCTCTACGGAGTAGGTGACTTGAAATTCTAGACTCTAGCAAATGTGGGCGTCTCAGCTTCATCGTCGGCATCAGTGCCGACATCAACTCCCCCAAACACACACCCAATCCGGCAAAGATCACTCTGTCTGCCCTTCATGTCGCAACATCCACGAGAGAAGAAGATCTTTCAGTAGTCACCCCATCCAAAATACTCACTAATCTGACCAACGCCCAGTCCCCTTAGAGTGAACCCGCGCCTTCAACCCAAGTAAAGCTCGCATCTTTACGTGGTATTTTTACGTTGTATCTAGGATAAGTAGCCTTTAGGTAAAACTAACCCAGCCGAATAAAGTTGGTACAAATAGATCTGTGGTGTGACTATACTATATAACTTTTTAGTATTGTAACAGCGGTGATTACCAAGTTTCTACATGGCAGAAACCCTACCGTAGACTAGCTAGATATGGAACTAGTGTTTCACAAAAATCACGACTTTTAGAACTTGCCAGGTTGGCTCGCTGCTTTGTAGACGCGTCTTATTCGAGTGCTTGAATTACATTTTGACAACATCGAACTCTTTCTATTCTCTTGTTTAAGAATGGAAGCAAGAGTGCGAGAAAAAAAAATCAGTAAAGGCATCAGCGCCCGGAGCTCTGCGCTGCGGACTCGCCAAGCCCGATTTCTGCCTGGCGCGATTTCTCTATTTAAGTGTGCTCCATTCCCAGCTTGATCTAGGATATACGGTCACTCACAGAACTTTGATCTCGACAATTCGAAATTAACATGGGAATACTCACTGTCACCGTTAGTGGCTCATCCGCCATCACCCGCCGGCCTGAACGAGGTGTTTTGAACCTCACAGTGAACGCCAAAGGAAGCACACGTGAGATTGTTTCCCACAAGGTGTTAGAAACTACCAATGAGCTTAACCAGCTTTTCAAAGAACTGTCTCCCAAGACAGAGTCTGGAGATCCAACTGCAGATGCGGCTGTGGTGACTTATTCGTCCACTTCCCTCCGCACGTGGAGCTGGAACATCCAGAATGAAGGGAGTGTGTTTAAAGTCCAGGAATACCGTGGCAATCTCTCTTTTGTTGCTGTGTTCCGCGACTTTACCAAAATGAGTGAAGTTGCCGGGAAGCTTGTGGCATATTCAGATGTTGACATCAACTCGATTGACTGGGAGCTAACAGCTGCCACCAAAAAAGCTTTGAGCTCCGAGTCCCGCAAGGAGGCTATTCGCGACGCCGTTCAAAAGGCAAATGACTACACTGAGGTAATTGGCCGAAAGGTGGCCGCAGTTGACATACGGGATGGTGGGAACTCCTCTTTTGGCGTGTTGACACGAACTGCCCCGAACCCTTTTGCTGGAGGTGGAGGGGGCCTCTTTGGCAGTGGGCCATCCTTTGGAAAGGCATCTGGAGGAGCCTCAGGTTCAGGCCTCTTTGGTGGTGCTGCTAACAATGCCCCTGCTCCTCCTCCCACTCATCCCACTGCACCGTTCGATCTCACTCCACAGGAGATTCAATATACCAGTTCCGTGCAGGTCAGATTTGAATCAGACCCGAATGAATGAACTACAGTCTTACACCTTATTTCGGATTCGTGCTATTTCGATGTGTTTTTCGGCCAGAAGATGCCGCCTGCGCCAAATTCTATGTACGCTTGCTCCTCTGCTTCCCACTATATTCAGATTTCATACATTGTGCCGCCTGCTACATGTCAAGCACATATTTCTCAGAATTCCACAACGTCTATCTCCATATCAAGTGACAGTATCCATAAACCATAAAGATTTGTGTTTAAATTTCAATGATACCCTCAGCCCTTCACCTAGATAGTGAAATATGCAAAAGCGCAATATTCAACATTCGGAACAACTTGCCCATTAGTCTCAACAAAGTCCATAGTCAATCTCCACGAAGACAAACATCTATTCATTAGATGAGCCGAAATTATTATAGATCGCCAAGCAAATTAAGTGCATCCAGTTCCAAACTAAACTTCACAAATTAGTTCCAATCGGCTCTTCAAGGTTCAGAGGGATACAGGTCGTTGGAATTCCGATAGCACTGAGCTGAACACCATCTGTATTATTGACTCACATCTATCCGGACCGGGTAGCCCCAGGACCGTCCCTCCTCCAAGAAGTTGAATGTGCACCTTTACTTGTGAATATATTCGGTAAAATGAGGATTATGCTTCATGGTCAATCCAAAGGATCGCGCAACTTGATATATATTCAAGATTATACAAAAATATACACATCGGTGTGTTCCAGGTCACAAAACATTCGCAAGCCGGTACTTTCTTACAGGTTATGCTCCATAACAGGCCCATCATAGACCTTTCTCGCACGAGCATAGTAGTAGAAAAGACTGAGCATGATGGTACCCACAGTCCCAACGACACTGAAGTTCATGGTTTGAACAGTCACCACCCAAGACGGTGGCCAGAAGCTAAAGAAGACAGCAATAGTCATATAAATCAAAGCCCAGGCATTGATAAGAATGCCCCAAATGCCTGGCACATGGAATGGGCCCCAGACGAGCTTCGCGCCGGCGGTGTTGATGATAGCGGAATCGCTGCTGCGAACAGAGCTGATCCCGCCCGTGCAACGACGCCAGAGGAGAAGACCGCCAACCACCATGTACGACAGGTAGAGACCGGAGATCGACATGGAGCAGAGGTCGTTGAAGGCGACCGCGGAGCCAATGTTGATGAGCGCAAGGAGGCAGGCAATCACGGATGTCATCAAAACGGAGTATATGGGGACGGCAGAGTGCTCGGTGACCTGTAGTCTCATGATTAGATCGAAGATCATGATCAGGGGTTGTTGGAATAGCAACTTACCTGGCTCCACAATCGCCAGCCGGGAATTCCACGGTCTCTAGCGAAGGACCAAAACTGGCGTGAAGTGGACGCCAACATGCCGACTGATGTGGTGGCGCCCATGGTAGTAACGATGGAGCCCATCACTGCTGTTCCAGCTATGGATCCTGTTGCCTCCAAGAATATTCCCAGGAAGGGGTACCCAGTGGGTGATCCCAGGGCTGTTTCAAGATCCCCGGTGCAGAATAGCATGGCAATCAACATGCCGAAACCCAAGGATCCATTGATGAAGACACTTAGCATGATCGAAGTTGGGACGGCAACGGCGGCATTTGTGATTTCTTCAGACATCTAAAGAGTTTGAGTTCGGATTAGTTCTAGCCTCAATTTTTGAGTAGTTCTCAGGAGACGGATAGACGCACATGAACCGCGGCATCACCACCAGCAAACGCAAAGATGCAGCCAAGCATTCCGACAAAGAATGACAGTCCTTGGGACGGGAACTCCCCCATATTAAGGAACTGGGTAAAGACCTCCTTGGAGGTTCCATGATCGGCCATGTAAGTCAAGGGGATGAGAATGGCAAAGAAGCCAAGAATGTGGAGGATCAAGATCATGCCCTCAAATCGAGGAAGAACTTTGCCGCCAACACTGTTGATGGCGACAGAAAATACCACAACCGCCCAGAATATAAGCGTTGCATGCCAGTTTTGGGGCTTATAGTTGCTGTTCGTGAGCACAGCCAGGCCTTGAATCAAGGTGCCAACCAAATAGCATGAGGTTGCAAATGTGGCTTGCCACCCGATAACCGTAAGCCAACCTATGGAATATATTAGCTTTAGTTTTGGATAGCTCCAGAGATCGTCTACTCACCTGTCAGATAGCTCATGAGCTTCATGCACGATCGCGGTGCTAGCATGGATGTCCAATGATACTGGCCTCCGGATGTTGGTGCCCTATTGACCAGTTAGTTTTCATCCTTATGACAGATCGAGTATTCCGTACATTGATGCCAACTCTGATAGAACCACAAAAGTAGCTGCGACACCAATCCAAACGAAAAGGAATCCATATACGGCTCCAGCTGGACCTCCACTGTGTGGCCTCTGTTAGTCCTGCGGGGTTGATAACTTCTTCACGTCTCTTACTTTTGGTATGCTTGCAAAAATAACCTATATCACAGTTGTCAGCTCACACTTTCTCGGGTTTAATTCTTATCTCCAAGACCACTTACACGACAATTCCCTCCCAGGTAATCAGAATTGTACAACTGAAACCCAGCATTGACATTAACCCAAAATTGCGCTGGTATTGTTAGTCCATATCCGATACATCTTCTCAAACAGCACCTAAGACATACCTTCAAGACGGGGCGTTTTCCCATGCGCGCAAGATTGGCATCATCCAGCTCTTTCCTTGATAATTCACCAATCTCCTCTCCTCCCGCCGAAGACATTTGCTTCGAAAATTGAGACCGCATGATGGAGGTGTGCTTGCCGACAAGCCAAAAAAAAAAGCAAAAAACAAAAATCGATCGATCAAAGAAGAATAATCACATTATACCACAGAAGGTCCAGGGGCAAAAAAAAAGAGAGTTAAAACTAGTGTCAGCGAGTCTGAACATACTAGGATGTGGTTGGGGGGCCCAGTTAGGCGCTAATGCAGCAAGGGCAGGGGTACAGACAACTAGAAATGCCACGCGGGACAAAATTCCCTCATTGGATGGTCGATAGATACATATTGCCAAGCAGTACATAGTAGTACGAAGTCAATGCAGTTATCCTGTCTCACTTCCAGGGCTTCCAAAGGATCTAAGGTTTTAGAAAGAACCAAAGACACGTCAAGGCCATATATGTTGAAGGCAGCCATTTTAATTGTATCTCCACTATCATAGCATTTAATCGATCCTTTATACGGAGTACAGAGTAACTGTATGCTCTATTGTAGTTCTATAGAGTTAATCCAGGTAACAAGTAGTGTAAAATCTATCAAATAAAACACAAATTGAAGTTAAAATTAAAATTCTAAAATGGGTAGATATCTCTAAGAGGGCGATATCCACTGAGAGAGTTTATGTCCCAGTGGCACATTTAGTTCCCCCTGTAAGGAGTATCGGGATTACAGAGCTAAGGAACTTGGTAGACATTGTCATGAATAATGTGAACCATCGATATTGCCATTTTCTTTCGCTCGACTCCGTAAGGCCAACAATAACAACCAATTGTACGTAACCTACTAGGTGCGCTAGTTACACCCGAAGCCGAACAGTAAATTTGTAAATCCCCGAGGCGCAGAGTGGAAACCGAGTAATTAATTAATTATATATTTCTATATGCTATTCTATATTGTAGTGGATCTTCGGCACAGACGCCGTACCCTACCAAGGGTTGTCATTCGTGGAGGGCTACGGGAAAATCCTAATTTCTCGGACAATAAGTGGACCCAAGGCAATCCTTTCGAAACGTTGAATCAATTTGGCAATCCTTCGGTCACTGTCCACGTCCGCGTCTCCATAATCATATTAGACTGACTGGATTGGCTTTCGGCATCCTCGTCCGGACCCGAGGTGACCATAGCATGATTAGTTCCTTCGTGGGGCACTGAAACTAATTCATGAGTCTCACTTCGAGTATCCGCAGTCCGGCGGAAGGTTTTGAATGTGGTCGTGCCATATGTCTTGTGTTTGCTGCCGTAGTTGTTGGAGCTCGTCATACCCAATCCCATTCCCGATGACTGGAGACTATCCAAGAAAGGCTTGAACTGGGGGGAGCAGGCTGTGACGATGCTCACGGTTTGAGCCACTTGGGTGGCAATTGCGACGGACCAGGCATCATAGGTGAAATCGCCCCTGGCGGTTTGCTTGGCGTAAACAAGTTGGAAAATAATCGCGATAATTACGCTGCGAGTGCCGTCTTTGTTAGTGGATTGGATTCTATCACGCGGAGCGGAGTCTGGTCTTGACACATACATGACTCGGATCAAGAATACACTGGACAGCCCAGCCTTTCTGCTGAAATCGGTTTGGATACGGACGATAACCAACAGCGCTTGGCCTATGATTCCGCACTCTGACAAGATGTTTGTAATGCCGAGCCACTTCCACCACGCATCCTGGTACATGGTCAGCGGTCAACCATTTCGGTCATTAAGGATGGACCAGCCACTCACTCGATTGAAACAAGTCCCATGTATATAATCCCAGATCCGTGGGACATTACATTGAAATATCGCCGTGAGAATGCTGGCAATAGTCCACAACCCAATAAATATTCCCAACACGAGGGCGAAGCGGCGATCCAACGATGCGGGAGTTAGGTTGCGAATGAAGAACAGAAGCGATAGTTTGGAGAAGCAAATACTGGCGATGAATAAAACCGTTGCGGAGTGATCAGCCTTTGTTTAATGCATTAGCAATGGTTCGATAAAGGGCGATTCTCATCCATACCTTCATGACGGTTTCAATTTTGTGATCGGACAGCATTCCAAGATGCTGTCCAAGTCCATTCGCCGTGGCAATCGAGATAGCAATTGACTGCGCGATGCAGAGTACCAACGATGTAGTCACAAGGCCATCATCAAATGTCCACTTCCGAAAAATGAAATATTTTGTCCCCAGACGAGTCAAGACGCTCAAGATAGCTGTCACCAGCATGAACCAAGTCAAGACATTGATAGCAGGAGTCCAGGTGTTCTTCAACTCTGGGGACATGACGACAGGATTCAAGAAGAATATGCAACAAAAAGATCTGGGGCCATACGCATCTGGGCACTCAGGCAGTTATCGCATGTGTAATACCCTCAGCTCTACCTAAGGATTTTCGTGGGACCCACAACAACGCCTCGTAGATCATGGTACAAAAATCAATCCACATGGAATTAATCAAAGATCCTTAGAAAGGTTAATAATATTACACCAGCAGGGTTATAGCATGGTTGTTGCAGGGTATGGAGTATAGCAGGGCGTTGTAGGGGTGTTAAAAAAGTTTGATCGCCACGGAGGCCCCGTTATTCGTGTGAAAACTGAATCACTCTCCACTTCACTGTGATCAAATTGCCTAAGACCAATTAAAAGATGTAATTTCGGCTTAATTCAAGTTCAAACGATGGTTAATGTCTTAGCCCCTGTTACATGCTCCATGCAATCTGTCTGGAACTAGTGTTTTTCTTGGCTCTGGTCTAAGATCATAAGAGGCCCTCAATAGGGGACACAAATCTTACATTATGACTTAATATTATTACAAGAATAATGCATTATGCAGCCTTTGGATGTTCTTTTTGAATGTTCTTTTTGGATGTTCTTTTTGGATGTTCTTTTAAGGCGTACAGAATACCAAAGCATATGTATAACCCTGATTGACGATATGACTTATTATTATTTATATTAATATTAAGCTTGTCTTTCAAATTCGATACCTTTTAATAAATGTCCAATACATCCCACATGGGACAGACTAAGATTTTATCGGCTGATTAAATTAAACCAGGCTTTCACTCGATCTTCAAGTTGACCAACCCCTTTCGAGTCTCCATCGCCGGCCAGTCTCCTTCCCGATCGCCTCTATCTTCCTCCCAAATGTCTCGGGGTCATTCATCTTGATATATAGTCTCCGAGGATCTACCTTCCCCATTAATGCTCAACCAGAGGAAGATGTACAGTGTGGCTTCTTCAGAAGCTTCTTAGTCAAGTTCCCTCTTTGCCCTCCTGCGCTCCCTGATATCAATCACATCGGAAGGATGTTCAATCACCGTTGAAAGATATGTAGGGGACACAGTACGGTGTACTTACGATATGACTTATTATTATTCATAGGGGATTGATACAGAGACACCTAAGAAATAATTGTATATTTTATTAGTTTCTACATTAATCTAGGTATTCTAGGCCTAGGGGGGCTATATTGACAGTTAGAATTGATGAATTTAATGATATAGTAAGCTGCGATATCACCCGTCCATGGGTACCGTCGCAGTCTACGGAGTACTCATACCTTCAAAATTAGCCACAACGCTTGTTATGTTTATCTTGACACTGTACATATGAGTGGAAAAACAGCAAAAGTTGTATTCACCGAGACTTTGCTAATAATATGTGAAAGAAAGCAAAAGAGAAAAAAAAAAAAAGCTTGCTCTTAAAGATCATTTCCACTCCACAAACATTTCAGAGCCGCTTCATATTTTCAATCAATGCATCACGGTCGTCAGGATTGGTATCTCGAATATCCGCTCCAAGGATCATACCTGCCTGTAGATTACGAGACTCATTGGTTGAATCCTCAAAAGTATTATTCGTAACAAACTCATCAGGGAGCTCGCGTCCCGAGACACAACGAGCGAGGGTCTTGAGGGTGGACTTGTTCAAATATTCACCACCGGACGGCCAGAATCTTCGAGCCTCCACCTTTTCAGTTGTGTCACCGAGATTTGTTTGTTTAGCATGGAGGTAAGAGATCAGGAAACGGAAATAGACGTATCTTCGGCGAGGGCGATTCTCAGAAAGGAAACTCAAGATGCGGCCATCGAGGTGCTACACAACTGTTAACCTGTACTCTTCCATTTTGAACCTAGGAATAGACCGACCTTGACTTTGATTATTTCCCCCGTCTCTCTCTTGTAAACGAAGTCGTCATTTTTCGATTCATCTAACACAACACATTTCCACTTGGTTGGGTCAGTGATCGCTCCAGGAATTGGAATGACAGCAATCACTCCTTGGTCGAGTAAGGATTCAATGGGATTGTATAATAACAACGCTATAAGAATTTTCGTTAGATCATTCTCCTCTCAAACGAACAGGGTATTTTTACCATTAGATGGGTCAGAAAGAACACCGTCCTGAACTCCGAGAATATGAGAGACCTCTTCTTGGCTTAAGGACTTAGGCACTAGATGAGCTGCCTTGACTGAAGGGCCGGGTAGGTAAAATCCGAGAACGTGACAGTAAGATGTTTTTTCCGCAAAGTCGGTCGGCACGTTGTAGTATTCCTTTACTTTCTTCTTGAAATTTTTCTGGTTGAAGGGGTGTTTCTGAGTCCTCGCAGCCGTATCCATGACACGTGGGATAATCGTATCCACGTATGCCCTCTCAACAAGTCCATTGTCTGAGGGCCCGGTAACCCTTCTACGCTTAACTTCCACTTCCAAGTCCTCCTCGATCAATGTCCGTTGGCGCTTGAGGACATCAAGAGTCTGCGATATTGCTCGGAATCTTGTCAAGATAGGACCGATCTCTGTCTGGAACGTGTGACTGCTAAGTAGCCCTGAAGATGAAACCTCATCAAGGCCCTGTTTTATGCAACTGATGTACTCCTTCTCATCTTCAAGTGCAGCGATCTTAGCGTCAAGGAAATCCGATGTGGTTGATTGCAGCGAGTCCTGTGAAATGCGAGAGAGTTTTGATGAATTGCTGACCGATCTCTCCTGATGGCCACGCAAAGCTTGACGGCGGTTTTCTGGCATGAGGGATGAAATTCTCTCAGGGACTGGAAAAGGGACTCTTTCTGGCATCTCGAATGATGAAACAAATAGTGATCAAAGAGGAGATTTATTTGCGAAAGCGAAGACAGAAAGAAGAAGAAGAAGAAGAGAAGAGGGTAAAATGGAAGAAGAGTTGTATTTAGGTTTGTCATGATTTCCGAACCAGGTAAGTCTCACTTTCTCTTCACAGTGTCCTCTTCCTATTGTCCTCTTTCTATTGTTCAACTTCGTTTCATGTTGAGAATTTTCGTTGCCTACCGACGCTCTATTAGGCATCGCACCCGCACCCTTTTCAAGTTGCGGCTGTGAGCACATATATCCAACCTAATTAGGTCTAGTCTTTCATGATACACTGTAAATCCGTGTCTGGAAACGGTCTAGGTTGATTAGACTAGGGAGAGGTTATCCTGGTGCATACTCGGTTGGAAAATCCGAAAATTCCACATGCGATGACTCCAAATGTCTCTCCAATCTCAGAGGGACTGGAGGGGTTTATATATTTTGGGGGAGGATGAGGTGGCCCAGGCGTGCATTCCTGCTCGCTGCAAAGTCATAATAAAAAGGCATCACTATCAGAACCATGAACCTTGGAAGCATGCAGAAATTGATGAACTAACCAATTAGACCAAAAGAGTGTCAAGATGAAAGAAAAACATGTTACAGTGAAACAGACGGGAGGAGGTGATTAGGTCACCGGTTTGTATGCGAGATCCATCCAACGTGTAAAAGTGACATTGGAAGGATATCAGGGACTGAAAGTACGTTTGTACCTGGGCTGGCACACTTAGTTTGCATCGGTAATAGGTTAGCTGGCGTGTCAAGGCAAGATGCATTAGAGATCAAGGTAGATGAACTAGATGAACCCCTGGTACCCATGGACATCATTATATTACTGATAGGGATTGATTGAACTGTCAGATGAAAAAAGTGCAGTTGCACCTTCTCGTAGGTTGGGGCGTCACCCCCCGATGAATTGTTGCTCACCGTTCCCTTCCTAAGCCTGTGCCTTGTTCTTCCGGAACACTTTGCATCCATTCACCGCGTTACTTCTACCATTCATCATCAGCACGCGTTCATCATCATTCCTCATCCATCACTATCGCGCGTCAAGTCAAACGAAATGTCTTCCCCTATCAAACTCGACGCCAAGCTCTCTGAGCTGAAGGCGGCCGACGTTCGGTTGCTCATCTATGGTACCCTGTGCAACGATGGCAAGGTCAGTTTCCCGGTTTACCCTCACCCTGTACCTTCCTAATCCAACCCAATGGCTAATATCATACACCGCACAGATTGACTTCGAGAAGCTCGCCACTCTCGCTGGTATGAAGAAGACTTCTGCTCATACCAACTACTGGCGTGCCAAGAAACACCTTGAGCAGATCCTGAACGCAAACCCCGTGTCTCCCACCCAAATTGCCCGTCCCCAGCCTGAGGGTGGTGACGCCGATTCACCTAAGGCAGTCCGTTCTGGCAAGCGTGGTGCGGCCAAAGATGGATCGATCAAGAAGACTGAGCCTGCCAAGCGCCGTAAGACTGACACCAAGACTGTCTCCGAGCTGGTTGAGTCCACTCAGACTGAAGACACCGCTGAGACTACCCCTGCCGACACCACTGATCAGGCTGAGTAGATCGTTATCTATTTCAGTCGTCGCTACATCCGCGATACCGTCTCACGCCGAGACCTCCCGGAGAAGATGGAACGAATCAAACGGAGGGATTAAGTATGGGATTTTTTACTGCGGACGCGCGTCAATGTGCTCGGACATGGAAAGGATGACTTGACCATACCTTTTTTTTCTAATATGAAACTTTGAAATGAACCACAATCACAAATAAACACAGATGCATCATAAATACACTAGACGTAAGAATAATCACTCTTCACTTCGTAGACTAGTCATACATGTTCTGTTTCCAGATCAATTCTCAGTGCTCGTGTCTGCGTAGTCTGATCGACGCCGAGCTAGATGGGTTCGGTCCATTGAGAGTTGTGTTGTAGGTCGCACTGCTATCAAGCACTTCCATAATCACGGTACTGTTACCCTCTCGGTACTCGCTTGTTGGTGTTCCATGGGTTCTGTAACCACCGTGTGGCTTCAGGTGCTTCTTGCCTGTCGCAATATCCTTTCTCGTAACCACTCTCTCGAACATCTCCAACGCAGCCAATGGCTGGTAGAAAGGTACTTCGTGGCCAGACTCGTAGATTCGCACAAAGCTGAACAAGTCACTTTGACGGACTTGTCCGTGAACAACGCCATCCGAGGTAGTGATGTTCACAAAGCCTGCGTGTTCGTAACCCTTCGCATTGATCTCTTCGGCGATGACTTGTCCACCAAGCCAGTTGCAGTTGAAGTCACTAGAACCCAAATTAGCACGGTCTGGTCATTCATCACATGGCATGGAAGACTCACGCATCTCCGAAATACAGCAAAACCTGTACTCCAGCTTCGAGCAACTTCTTCACACTCTCAATTGTTCCGGACTCGCGGTCGTCGTCACCTGTGCTTCCAAAGGCATTGCTCACAGTACCGGAAGATTCCGAGAAATTCTGGTATGCTCCAATAGCAGTTTGGACCTTAGGGCTGTTGAGGTAATCGACGTAGAATTCGTATGGGAATGGATCGGGTGTCAACTCTCGCATATCATACTCGTCGCGGCCAGAGTAAATGTCAAATAGCGACTCAACCTTCGAAGCACAGAAGTTGTCCGCCGCAGCACAAATGTCATTACGACCGGTCGAGTAACATTCCAGAGTCTGATCAACGCAGTTTCCTTCTCCATAAAGGTTGTTGTACCATTCAGCCTGGACAGACTCGTTGTATGGGTTGAAGTCATATGTGTTTCCGGGGAAGATGGAGAAGTTGTAGTACGCCTGGTATTGAATCAGGGGATCGAACCAGCCATTTCCAATCAAGACGTTCTCAAGATCAATCTTAATCGACCCGTGAGGCTTCTTGGCGTTCTGTTTAACGAAGTACTCTGCTCCAAGGTTAGTGCTGGTTGCATTCAAGAGCGCTTGGGGTTTTTACCGTTGAACACTGGGCCGTAGTGTCCTCCGTAACTCTCGGTTGCGAAGTTGAAGCCATTCCGCGAGTACTGTGGGAAAGCTCCCATGAAGCCCTGTAGTGTCTTCCACATATTCGGAGCCGCATTTGCAGTTGTATTCGGGACCAGGGCAATGTCCGGTTTGGAGTATGTACCGCATGTCCCAAGTTCCTGGGCGTAATCGGGGCACTCCTCGCTGGGCAACTGAACGATATTGCCATCGCTATCCTCATAAGCTGGAATGGGGGCTGTGTAGGACAATCCAACTGTGGCGGGCTGGTCCACGAAGAGCTGGGGAAAGTTGAGCTAGTGTCACGGAAAACGAAGGAGTGCAAACGTACCATATTGCTGACATTGCTCCAAGAATACGGGTTGTTGAATGCGTTACCGTCTTGGTCAACTCCGCAGGGTCCTAATTCCTGGAATAACCCAATCATCGAGGATGATCCTGGTCCTCCGTTGATCCAGACCGTAAGTGGTGCCTTGTTGATTGTCAGTGCATTTTGTAGATTCTCGAATGGCATTGAGACATACATCTTTAGGATCTCCGTTTCTAGTCTCAAAGAACCACCTGTGCTAGTCAGTCGCTGCCTAGGGCCCATCTCTATCAGGAATGCTCACCAGAAAATGTGCTCGTCTTTGCCAACATCAGCGTAACCAGAATAACTCTTCACATTGGGATCTTGTTCACAAATCCCAGCGGGGACTTCCTTGTATCGCACATCGATGCCGGCATGTCCTTTCTTAGTGATCAAGTCGCTGGGCGCGGGAACAAATTGCGCCGTGGCTGAGTGCGCTAGCACTGCTAACAAAAGCTTAGTATACAGCACCATTTTGAATTGAGATCCCCAATTCAACTCGAGGTTCAAGTCATATCTTTATACCGTTCATTCCAGATAACCCCGCCCGGCTGGGGATATCCACTTTATATTGCTAGAATCAAACGAGAAGGCCAAAAACTACTAAGATCGCCCAACTTGATCTTTTCGGTCTAACCCCGACGGATCTCCGACTGGATGTCTCCTGAGAGCCGGAAATGACCGAATTGCTTATCAGCCAACTTTATTAGTGCAAGATTGGGAATTGAAGGATAATATGGGCAATCTTGGTACTTTTTCTTCCAACCCCTTGCATCGACTTACGGTATAATTTCTACTTTCTATCTTGCCTCTGCATATTCGGAAACTGCATGTGTCATTATTCTTTATACATATCAACGTCGGCTCAGCTATTATAGAGTCTATCAAACGAAAATCGAGGGGGCTTGATCTAAATTTTAAACCCTCTTGAATGGCAGCCCAGGGCCCTTGCCAGCATCAACCTGCACAAAGTACCAGATGTGCGCCTCAAAGTCCGTCAGCAACGGCAGGCCAGTTCCGGTGTTTCCATCAAAGGAGACATCTCCGTCAATAACCTTGATATCAGAAGTGCTAACAGTGGCATTGTTAGGCGAGGTGATCCAGTACTCAGGGCTAACGTGAACATAACCCATGGACAACAAGGGCAGCTTGGGGACGGGGTCATTGGTGTGGGTGAAGCGGAAGTTGTTGCCCTGAGCCGTGATATACTTGGCCAAAGCCGCGTTACCCACGCGAGGAGAGGCGTACGCGTACAGCTTAGCCGATGGGTAGCCCTTGCCACGGAGGTCGGTGGCAGCAAGGGTTGCGACGGCAGCACCCAGGCTGTGGCCCACTACGACCAGCTCGTAGTTGGGGTTCTGTGCGACGACTTCCTTGAGTTCTTTGATGATGTCGTCACGGACGAGCTTCCAGGAGCTCCAGAAGCCGAGTTCAGCGAGGCAACCATCACAGAGACCAGGGTTTGTGTGGACGAATGTGGCATCAGCGACCCAGTTGCGCACAGAGTAGGACCCGCGGAAGGCAAGAACAACTGCTGAGTTGGTGTGATCGACTGCAATGTAGCCGGCAGTATCTGTGATAGTGGAGCTATGCGTGGGTAAGTATATCGTCTGGGTTATTTCACGGTGGGATTCACTTACTCGGAGAAGTCATATGATACAGTCGCACCAGTTGCCTCTACTTCGGGGCAGTTGCCCTTCGAACAACTGAGCTTGTCGCCCACTTGAGCTGTGTAGTCCGCTTCATAGTATGACGCGGCGGCATATTGGACCCAGAATTCGAATTGGTCCAGTTCGCTGGTCGAAACATCTAACCATGTGTCAGTAATGTGGTCAGGTTACACTGGGCAAGGTTGTAGGATGTACCTCGAGACTGCAGCTTGCCGGGGAGGGCATAGCCCAACGAAGCCACTGCGGATAGAGCTGTGAAGAAAGAGAGACGCATGATGGCTTGAGGTCAATGGCTGAAGCTGATGGAGACTGGAGAAATCAAAAGCTGGGGGTTTCCCCCGGCTTTATATGGTCAATTGCACCTCACAGTTCCATTCAGGTACGAAGTATGGTTCCTGGATTAGTTCCACAATTGCGCCAGCTCATTTTTGTGTCGGGGGAACCACGGCATAGAATAAAATCCGATATTGCTTGTGATGAGGGATATCGACCCAGTTCAGCCCACGGGGAATACTCCGGATTCATATAAAGATCGTCAAGGTATAGATCACATCCGGGGATGTGGTACCGAAAAACGAAAAACTCTCCAATCGCCTTGGCTATCAATCGCGGGGCATTGGTGGAGCCGGGCTATTGTCTCATTTCGGTCAGCCCGGGAACCCTGGAAGTTAGCCAATATCGGCACCCGAGGTCGCGTGGACTCCGAGTACGGAGTTTATTGTACGGAGTACGCCGTGAGAATATGATATGGTGGCTGGCGTATATTGGTAATCACCATGTGGTTTCCAAGGTTGTCCCGATCACATGAAAATTTACTCCCGGAAGCTTGATCTACTCGGGCCGAACTTGGCAGAAACATTTTATGTCTGTTCCTTGCCAAGAGACTTCCCTACGGGTAAAGGGGAGTAGGGTTACATACTTGGCAAGAACTGGGGACTGGGTATACTGTGCACGGGGTATGTAAGGCTGCCATTGGCACGTCCACGGGTATGGGGTTAGAACTTCTTGGCATTCCACTGCTCGTGTGACTATATTTGGCGGTCCTGGACGGCAGAATCCGACGATCCTATTTTCAATATTTTTTCTCACTCTCTAACTAGCAATGGTAATACACCTGTTTTTTAGTTGTCATGATTAACAATTCCAAGATCACAGCTCGAATAACTTTTATTGAAATCTGGCCTATGAATCTCACATTAAACAGCCATCCTTAATACTAGAGTGCAGATCGCTCATCCCCACTCGCACACGGCGATAACCAGTGCGGTGGGTCTTCTTGGCGGAATTTTCCTTCGTTTTCAGGCTTTCCACGCTTGGAGACCCAGCCTGCGCATAGCTGAGAGGAGTGGGTTTGGTGGATGCTGCAGTAGGTTCAAGGGCATATACCTCAACCATCCATTCATACCAGACCTTGCGGTCGTCGGTTTGACGGTACATCGTGGCGACGATCTCGCCATTTTCGGGAACACTAAGAGGGGTCTGGGGAGAAATGTCAGCATGATGGAGGGCATAAATGTAGGTGGATATTTCCGGAAACTAACCTTCAAAGGGAAG